AATGCCAATAGAGATTGATGCCTTATAAGGATCATTGATATCACAAAGATGACAAATATTGTTGCAAAAGGGATTATATTTCTATTTTTGGAAGCCAAGCTATTAGATTGAAGGTTGTTTAAAACATCAAAATTCAAGCACCAATAAGACAAGGCGAGTTCATAGTCTCCAAATTCACTAAGTCAATAATGAATTAAAGTAAGAAAACGAGCTCTCTAATAAAGGCATCGAGGGCCAATAGTATGAATAGCTACTATCTTTAGAAAAAAATGGCATGGTCTCAAACAACTATAAAAAGAGTCAACTAATGTATCTAACGGGACTACTAAGAAGACAACCATGTCAAGTGCTTGTAGATTGTGGCTCTACAGAAAATTATAATTCAATTGAAATTGCCGATCGACTTGGAATTAAAACTAAGGCAATCATGAGACAAAGTATATATCTTGCAAATGATTGAGAGGATGTATTGATAGAGATGTGTAAAGATAAAACTTTGAGATTGACATACACTTACATCTTAAGAATGAGATTTAATGTGAATAAGCTAAGGTATGACATTATTTTAGGTATGCCATGGCTAGAGATGAGAAATAAGTAAGTTGATTGGGTATCAAGGACAATTTCTTTTAAAGATGGAGGATGTAAGTTGATTCTTTGTATCTCCACATCATATGAAGAGAAAAAAAAAATCTACAATCAAAGACTTATTCATAAGGACAATCTTATGAAGCAGCAAATATAGCATGAACAATCGATATATATATGGTGGTTCTAAATCTTACGTCACCGGTAGAAAGGACAACCAAAAGGATAGAATGGGCAAAGCAATTCATACAAAAATATCATGATGTCTTTCCAACTGACCTACCTAGTAACATACCTCCTCATCAAGGTGCCTTCTTTTAAATAGAACTATTGTCTGGAACCAAATCAACAAGTCGATCAATTTATTTCTTAGTGCCAAAAGAACTTCAAGAGTTGCAGAAGACATTAGACAAACTCTTAGAAAAAGGCCTCATTTAAAAAAGTACATCACTATAGGCAACACTTGTACTCTTTGCACCCAAGAAAGATGGTAGACTTTGCCTTTGCATCGACTATCATGGCCTTAATAAAGAGATTATTAAAAATACATATCTACTTTTGGTTTTGCCTCTTTTTGTTCAGCTTTATTCAGTTTTGTTCTGTTTTATTTCCGATTGCTAAGTTTTGTCTTTTATGTCCTATTCTGTTTAGTTCCATTCAGTTTTATTCTAGTCTATTTTGTCTTATTTTGTGATGAAGCTTTATGTTGCTATGGATTAGAAGAATCTTGGGTTTTTAAGATAGTCTGGTCTTATTTCACATGTGGTGGTTGTCCATGAAAATATTGAGTGGATTTTTACAACAAAGGTGCATAATGACTTATAAGTACCTTGTGCAAAAGTCGTCCACATATATCACTCTTCCTTCTTGGTGTGAGCTATTGTTTGTACTTAATGTCATTATAGAGATAATTTCTACTATCGTGACATACTTCCAAGGATTCAATAGCCTTCTAAATAAACAAAAAGTCCATCTTAAAGGCTTAATTTAATTCTTTGTGGGTTTGTATAAAGTATAAGGTCTACATAGTGCAAAGACTTTAGCCATGGCTTATGATGCCTCAAATCTAGTCATCTATGGATCTTAGTATGTGGCTTTCACAAGTGAAGAGGCTTTCGTTCAAGATCAAGGCACCTTTATGATGAATCTTATGACTTTGTTGCTCTCAACCAAAGCCAAGGCCGTGGTTTGTAATATGGTAGCTTTATTTGCTAGGCTCATCGACAACATTACATCCATTATTATCCAATGCAATTGCAACAATAATGCTAGTAATGAGGGTATTCCAAAAGTGATGTTCTATAATTTATGTTCATTATTCATGTCATTGATGTATATTTCCATATGTCGACACAGACTGTAGTTGAAATTGGCTAAGTAAGACACTCATGTTGTTAAAGATATTAAAAATGACCATTGAGCCATAATGCATGTCTACTAGGAAGAGATGACCTTCAAGGATGTCATTGACAAGAGCTTTGATTTGCAAACATAATTTCACGTCAAATAGATTTATTACAATGGCTAATTTCTACAACTTCAAATGTTTTTGTGGTAGATTGGCTTCTATTTTTCCTAACACAAGTATTGTCAAATTTGACTTCTCCATGATCATGTGGGAGAAGAACAAGTATTGGTAGTACCTCATGAAATTTTTACTTGAGAGTATCCTACATTCTAAATAATTTGACAGAGTTTGTCAAATTTGACGAGGATGGATGGTTTTAGAAAATTCTATAGATAAATTTCATCTATTCCTAATTTATCTAAAATAAAACTTAACAGCAATACTAAAATAAGCTAAATTAGGTATTTCATAGAAAGTCCTAATTTAAAGATGCCTAGGAATAAACCAAAAGAGACAAAAAGAAAAGAAAAAAATAAAAATAAAAATAAAAATAAATCTCTAATTTGCTACATATTTCATTGTTTTCAATAAAAATAAAGCAATAATTCAATTTTTGATCAATTAGAAATCAAGTGTTGTTGTTGCAGATTGCCAAGAATACTAAAAATTTGTATTGTTGAGTGCAATTTTTTTAATAAGATGAATCTTTTAATCATTAATGGTTCACAAATACTTCACACACTGTTATTGAGGAAACTAATAATAAGCATTAGAATTCCCTTTGGGTTTTTAAATGTGACTTTAGTTTCTTATTCATGAACACTTAGTTCTCTTCTAATCATCAAATACCTTTTCAAAAATCACAACCAAAATTATTGTTGATGCTCATGTAAACTCCAACCAAAATTGTAATTTATTTACATACAATTTATATTATGGCTGCAGTTTAAGAACTTCCACATTCAATATTAAATATTTTTCATCCATGTTTAAATAAATTTTAAAACTTCAAATTTTATTTCTTATAAGCATCTATTAATACAACCGTTATATCAACAATTGTTGATTCAGATTATTTTAAGTTGCCACTTCACATTATATTTCCATCTATTTTAATATTTAATCATTGTTGAATACATTTATTTTAACAGATAATTTCCTTCTTATGAGCAAAATTGTGGTTCATGTTTTGAGGGATATTATATTTGATATGTTGATAGTATTTGGATAAATTTTAGATCTATGAAATAAAAACTAAAAGACTTGAATTTAGTAAAAAAATCTATGGAGGATTTTTTTTTTGGATTCTCTGGTTTTTTTTTTTTTTTTTAATCTTTTGGACAAACTGTATATATATATATATATATTAAGGTAAAAGAATTACTAATGAGGGTTAAAATCACATTAGTATATTTGTTGTTTATTTTAATATATATATACATACTTTTTTTTACTGCTTTTTAAAAGATATAAGAATTTCTCAAAAGGTTCAAAATCACATTAGTTTATTTATTTTTATTCTTATTTTTAATTAAACTTGTTTTTGCTAATTGTTGGTTAGATAACTGTAATGTATATCGATGGTCAATGTACATGGTTAATGTCAAATTTTTATTGAGATTTATCATTTTAGAAATTTAAATTAAAATCATAGTAAAAAGTGGAAAATATAATATTCTTAAATGAAATTTTAATTTCATTTTAAAATTTCTAGTTAATAATCCTGTTTCAATGATGAAATTTGTAAATCTTATTAAAAGTAAAATTTAGGATTTATTTATTAAATTTATTATATTGATTTTATTCATGATAAATATTAGTAATATTATGGTTTTAATCTATTAAAAGAAAAATATATGTGATTTGAAAATTTATATTATACCACATAATTTCGAGCTGTGTTAAAATTAAGAGCTTTCAATCCAATCAATAGAGTTTGGCATATATAATTTCAACGAACAAACCTTTCAACTTAGGAATTCAAAATCCCAAATAAGACTACCAATTCAAGGATGGATTTTTATCAGATATGATATTCAACAGTGGACGACTTTTAGAAGAACACATTTTTAGAAAAATATTGCAAGGAGACATTGAACCATTCAAGACGATAATTACATGCTCAAACTTCGTTACATCAAAACTGCAAATAGCAAAATCTAGCTATCCCAACTTCTCCATTTGCTTTTCAATATTCAAAAATATATTAGTATTGTTCCAAGCCAGCCGCCCTTCAAAGCAAAACTTTAAACGCAAAGAAAAATTTAAACAACCAATGGGAGTTGGAAAAATTAGTAACATCCACAAAAGCAACGAAACAGTCAAACTCACCATTTCACGATCACGAAGAGTGAGTGAGTGACCGAACAAATGAGCACATTCATCGAACGCGTCTTAGGTTGTAAAAGGAGTCAACACTGATTGAGGCACGAAACGGAGGTGGGTAGGAGTCGGACCAGTGGAAACCCGCCACATCATCCACGCGCCTGTCCAGCTGGATCAGTGCCATCCCCTCTGGCACAGAAGTCCTGCGCTGGTTTGATTTGACCCGGACCGTCCCCTTATGGATGAAATCGGGGATAAAATAATGCCGAGGCGGATTTCATCTACGCGTTGCAGCCGAGCTTGAACGGGTTTCTAGAAGCTTCCTATTCCCGTGGATTCAACTTGCTTGGTGAGGAAAAGCTATTTTCGTCAAGAGGGCTTGCTTCTCGCTGTCATTTGTGAGGAGGGTGAGGAAGCTACTGTTGCCGTTTGGATGCGAGGGCTGTGGATTTGCGGGGTGAGGGAAGGATTGAGGGAAGGATTGAGGGAAGAATTGAGGGAAGAATTGAGGGAAGGATTGAGGGAAGGATTGAGGGAAGGATTGAGGGAAGGATTGAGGGAAGGGTTGAGGGGGAAGGATTGAGGGGGAAGGATTGAGGGGGAAGGATTGAGGGGGGAGGAAGGATTGAGAGGGAAGGATTGAGGGAAGGATTGAGGGAAGGGTTGAGGGGGAAGGATTGAGGGGGAAGGATTGAGGGGGAAGGATTGAGGGGGGAGGAAGGATCGAGAGGGAAGGATTGAGAGGGAAGGAAGGATTGAGAGGGAAGGATTGAGGGAAGGAGGGAATAGTTGTGGCATATGAGGGGTGGGATGCCGATTCCAAGGAGTGGTCGCACGGGCGGAGGGGTGGGGAACGGAGGGCCGCCGCAGCGGACGCAGTTGCCGTCGCGGGAGCTTTTGGACGATCTGTGCAGCCGTTTCGTGCTGAACATGCCGGAGGAGGAGCTGAAGTCGTTTGAGAGGATACTGTTCTCTATTGAGCAAGCGCACTGGTTTTACGAAGATAATGCGATGGAGCAGAACATGGCCTTGAAGGCTATGACCCTGCGTGAGTTTTCGTCGTTGATGTTCCAGAGCTGCGCCGCGTTGCGGCCTTATCTTACGCAAATTGATAACATATACAGAGATTTCACTATGTACAAGACCAGGGTCCCCGTGACGGGTGCGATCATTCTGGATGAGAGCTTGGAGCGGTGCTTGCTTGTGAAAGGGTGGAAGGCAGGCGCAAGCTGGAGCTTTCCGCGAGGGAAGAAGAACAAGGATGAGGAGGACTCTACCTGTGCAGTGAGGGAAGTTGTGGAGGAGACGTCGTACAATATCAAGCCCAAACTGAACCTGGATGATCACTTGGAAGTGGTGGTAGGGCAGCAGCGAATGCGACTGTTCATTATTCCGGGCGTGAAGGATGACTTCTTGTTCGAACCTCAAACGAAGAAGGAGGTGAGCGAAATAGCGTGGCACAGGTTGGATGAACTGCCAGTTTCTAACGGTGAGTCTGTATTGCACCATCGGGGTCCCACTGGATTCAAATATTTCATGGTGTTCCCATTCATTGTGCCTCTCAAGCTTTGGATCTCGAAGAGGCGACTCCAGTATCCGAAGCGAGTGAATCCGGTTCCAACTGTTTCTGTCTGGAAGGTGAAAAACAACTCCTCGGGTGGAGGATTCGGTCCTTTGTCCCAAAATTATGTGTCGGCTGTGATGCCTGTATTTCCTGCAGCTGTGGCTGCTCCTGTGCCGTTACCGGAGAAGATAAAGAGTTCTCCAAGGAGTACACCTGAAACATCACCGATGAGTACCCCGAAGACATCTCCGATCAGCACCCCAAGGAGCTCTCCAAGGAGCACACCAAAGAACTCTCCAAGGTCGACCCTACCGACCGTCCTGAAGGCCACATCAGGGATCACTCCTAAGTTGATTCCACCGATGGTTCCGAAGACACCTCCAAGCATCCCCCCTAAAACTGTTTTGAAGGGTCCCCCTGGTAACGCCTTTCGGAATTTCAGGTTTGACTTTGCTCAAATCCTGAAGCAACTTGATGGTTAGCGCGCAAACTACGAAATGGGGAAGTTGCCCTCGTTGGTGGGCTGCGTCTTGTGGCGATGGAACCATTAGATTTCTCGCTCCCTGTCTTTCCTTAATGATTGGGGTTGAGTTCCTTTGACCATTTTGTAATCTACCGTTTTCTGTGTCTTATCCTTTTTAGAACATGGCTAGATCTTAGTTTTTGCGAACCCTGGCTCTAATACACCTCTAGTATATAATACACCCACTGAAGATGTCATTGACGAGGGTGAAACAGATAAGGGTTAATCTCGAGGGTCATGCCTCTATTGCAGTCTGCACCTGATCCTCTAAGCCATAGTCAACATTTTGTTGCATCCCTGCGGATCACAAGAGCAGATGTACATGCGCTGAGAGAGGTCAAATGACCTCGATAATGTGGAGATGAAACCACAATTCTCCTAGCCCCTGAAGTTTCGGACAAAATCAAGAAACCTCACTGTGGCGCTGTGAAAGATTGGTTTGAGCAAGTTGAAATCTCAGAAGAGATTGAAGATAGTCTTTAATCAACCCTTTTGTGGGTTCAGAATTGAGGGATCAACTTCTCTCGGGAAAGATACAGTTGATCAAACCGTGGCATGTGCCATGAGTGTGAGGAGGGATATGACGAATTTTTGAGTCGCGTCCCTGCGTAGCCTTAGGATAGCATTCAGTGATAGAACGATTCATTGAGGGGTTGGGCTGTTGTGTAAATGAAAGCTGTGGATTGTGCATTATTAGTGGTGATAGGATGAGGAGATATGCTACTTTTTTTTGGCATATCTCGGCATCACATGTTCTATAGTTTTAGTTTGTAGGTGTGATTTAGTATATAGCATTGGAGATCATTTAATTTGTGGACAGCTGAGAAATGGCTCATGTCTGAGCTATACGAGGTAATTAGTTTGGTACTTGCTAAGGAGAGACAACGAAGGCGCTGGAGTCAAAGCATAGCTGGATCCTGAGACGGAAGGCTCTGCTAATCTTCAGTGTGCTATGATGTGCGCTTGGGACAAATGCTATATTCGCTACCTGTCAAAGGTACGACTCTCGTATTCTCTATTCATCTTGTATCAATCTTGGTTGTTGTGTTACAATGCTGAGGTGACTTATGATGAGACTCGCAGGGTGCAGCAATTTTTAAAATTTACAGTAGCCAATGTTGTTCTGAATGCTTGGGATGAGCATGTACAATTGTAAAAACTCGTCAGATAGCTATTTCGCATTGAGTTTGACAATAAAGAAGTCAATCACCTTCTATTTCGTTGTCCACAGTGCTTGTCGACGCAGAAATGTGAATTCTCTTTTAACGTTCGTGAAGTTTTGAAACTTAAAACTAATGAATGTGTGTATTTGAGTTCTTTCAGATACCACTGCGTCATAGAACAGAAACTGAGGAAGAGAGCTTTGAAGGCATGTTTAACACGAGCAAAGTGTCTATCTACAAGAAGTGCCTGCGCAGCGTTTACTGCAGAATGTTCGATCATTAGAGAAATGCAGATGCCATTCAAGGCTTGAAGTGGTCGAGAATCATCTATTAGGGCCGTCAAAGAAATGTTCGAAATCAATTTGTTTATGCTAATACGTTTATCATATGTGAACGATCATATATCAGCCATCATGTAATGGCTATTAGACTCGTTTGTTGAACTCACATAAGTAATCATTGTTACTCTAAACTTCCTTCGTACTTATTTGTGTTATCTTAGAATTTCAAAAATTCGTTATTTGTGAGTAGGAAACTATGTGTGAACGTTACCATTCTTTCAATTCTTAGAAATAGGAATAGGATGGGTAATTTCATGGGCACGTATTATACTGATTCTACTATAATAAATATACTTTTCATGATTATAATACCTTGTCTTTTGCGATGGTGCAAGATTTCTGTCATCAAACATTTGCTATCTCGTTAACCCTAAAACCAGTGAGCTGTTTGTTTGGTCATATGTTCCGAAATTGTATTTAGTAAGGACAATTGTAAAGATGCTTAGTTGACAGATTTATTTGGAAAGGTAGGAGATGCTATGCGCACCTTCCACCTAAGAACCCTTAAAAAAGCCTTCTGGGTTTAGTGGTTATAGATGAGGAACCCATGCTTGTGCCTAAAAGTGAGGTGCCATTTGTTGCCGGTATGTCAAGCGAATCGCGTACCGGCCCTAAACAGATATGTCCTTTTGCCTCCTCGATTGGCCTGGAACAGGTGGCTGGGGATTGGAGTCTGATGTGGAGACTTTCTTTACATCCGTCGTCTTGTGATTGTGTGGAGACCAGCTTCTGGAAAAAATGAGAAACTGGGCGCAGTGAGTGTTTGTGGAGCGCTGACGTGATTGTCCGTGGTCTTCGCATCAATATCTTCCATCTTTATGTAAGATGCTTCACCTCTCTAGAAAGTAGTCCTAGTGGATCCAGAAGCTGACATATGTAGTTACTTCCTTGAAGGACGAGAGTTGCGACATGTGATAGGAAGTGAAGATCTGCTTTATTAACGTAAACATTGGTTGGTGATATACTCAAATGTTCACAGTATAATCTTCGTAAACTGATCCTCTAAAAGTTCATTGGATGCCCAGAGAAAAGTTTGCTTCACTTCAGTGCAACTACCAGTGATAATGACCCTGCGCACGTGTAAGCAATGGGAGACAAATGCACAAGCTGTGAGACATTCACCGAACTGCCACCCCATACTGTCACCTTTTTCAGTGCATATTGGAGCATATTAAACCTGCGCGAGCTGACTGACAATGTCCACGGACGGTGAGAAGCGGTTTAGGGTTTCATGACAAACTCTTGCAGTATGAAGTGGTGATCCAATATCTTCGGCCCATGATTAAAATACTTCAATAGGGTTAACTCTTTCAGCTTCGCCCAAACATCAGTTCCTTACGCGATGTCACAATGAACATTCAATGCGAAGTTTTTACTGCCTGGAATGAAAAATTCGGAACTTCCACATGATGTCATGAGAGGAAGAAATCCGCAAATACACTTTAACGTTCCACAACTCCGTCGTTAGAAGAAAATGATTAACCAAAGAATTGGAATTAATCGTTTCAGTGCTAACTCTTACATGCTTCACACTCTACATAATCAACTCGTCAGAATTGACAAGCGTCATATCGCCTAATTTCTCGTCCAGTGTGGTGAACAATGCTTTCTCAAAAGTTGGGCTAAGGCGAGGCCAAGGGGTTCCCGAACATTCCCACTTATGAATCACAAGTGATATTGAACAGAATCAGATAGCAAAATGCGCACTAAGCCTACCAAGTGATCAAAAACTGAACAGAAAAGAAGAGCGAGGGTTTGTCAACTTCCAGAAGACCCACTGCACATTTCTTTAATTAGTTCCCATCAGCGGATCTCAGCCGTGTATGCTACGAGGAACAAGAGGACCCATCGATTCAAGAAACTGGCGGTTACTTTCTTTGTGCATTTATGCAAATGAAAAACTAACTTCAGTTCGTGAAGCAGCTACTATTTAGATCTGCTTCACGTTCTTCGTAGGCTTACCTCAAATTACCTACTTCATCAAGCTTACTAAATCCCTCTGCTTTGAAACATACAGCAGGATGTGTATTAAGATATCTAATAAAAATAAGAAACAAAGCAACTAATTGTGATCCCAAGAGCATCAAGGTCTGCAGCCGAAATATTGGGAATCAAGTTTCTCCACATAAAAAAAAAGATCTAATTGAGTAGGACAGTAAATTGTGCCCGGTGCATCCAAAACATAAGTTTCTGAACACTCATTAGGAGACTACAACAATCATTTTGCAACTTCAAGAAAAATAAATATCAGTCCACAGAACGTCTATTCGAGATAGTTAGTATACCAATCCAGAGCCAACAAAGTCCCAATATGGCTTGCGCTTCACAAGGGTGATAGACTACTGCAACCTCTGCACATCAAAGTCGGACAAGACGCATGAAAGTACTATGTCCCGCCAACATAACGGGTAAGAATTAAACGATCCAAGTGCTATTCTAAAAACTTCCTGATAACTCGTGTATCAAATCCGCACAGAATGTACCATTAATATGTAAAATAATGCCTGAATGAAGATGCATTGTTGAATGATTCGTCAACCAACTACTGAGAACAATCAGGAATCATCATACTGCAAAAATATTTGTGACGGCTTATATCAGAAAAACATTTACTGTGATCAGCATCAGGTCAGAATCTGTGCCAACACCACTACCTACTTCAGTAAATATTCTGGACCACTAGCTGTCCAAATTTTAAGATGAGCCCAGTGGTCCTCATAACCACAATCCTACAAAAATAACTCAATCCCAAACTCAATGTCACGATTCCCTGAGACTCCGAATAACCGGAGATCTCTACGTCAACGATCAAATCACACGAACGACCTCAGGCTCTAATTAGATCCTAAACTGAACCGAAAACCTTCAACTTTTCACCAATCACATAATGCTGCAATTACCTGGACCACCAAGTGCACCTCCTCCTGAGAAATCAGGGAGCCTGCGATGGAACACATTGAGTGAGCAAAATACAAAACAGTACTAATCCAACTGGACGTATGTAAAAATGTGCCGGACTGTTGATGCAGGTAGTTTCAGATCACTATTCAGTTTCAACAAGATCAACAACATCCAAAACAAGATACTACTTGACACGGATGATATTTAGGAAACAATATCAACCAGAACACAATCTCAGCAACTGACTTAAAGAGCAAATTAAAATTCAGAAAAAAGACAAGTTGCAAGTATGAGCCCAGGAAGAACATACATTGGTAAACCGTCTTCTCCAAGTTCAAGACCAGGCGCAAGCTCGCGAACTATATCTGGAGGCGGTTGTCCACATTCTTGCATGTTCTGCATAAGGTCCACAACTTTTTGAAAATCGTCTGGTGTGGTTTCATAAGCATGGCACAGCTGCTTGATGAAGTCGTATTGTTTTGTGTAGCGCGCCATGTCCTCACTGCTGAGCTCCGACTTGTGTGACTCTAGCCATTCAGGGTAACGATCACCAATTTCTTTCATTGGATCATATAATATTTCCTTAGAGAGGAGCTGCCGCATCATGGTATCCATCAAACCCTGCATATCCTGCATGTGCACATGGAAGCAGGGATAAAGCCAGAATCTTAAGTTTGCATTACACCCAATGACTTATCACAGACGCGATTGTCGAAACTTCGACAACAGACAATGTTGAAAAGGAATGCCTATTTCCTTGTAAATGAACCCGCTTGTATATGGAGCAATAGTTTTCAAAGAGAACCTGACTTCCGCTTAGAGCTTCAAACTGCTTGGCGAAACTTTCCATGTCGTCGCCTATATTCTCACCCATAGGAGGCGCATCTATGCTTTCAACTGTGTACCGTGTTTGTTCAGCCAATCTTTCCAACGTCGCAGACAAGTTGGCCTCCGGCTTGACAGTACGGGAACCTTGACCTGGGGCATTTTTAGTTTTTGAAACCTTACCACTTTTCTTCTTTCCTGACGTTAATGATGGTAAACTACTGCCTAGTCCTTGCACTGCAATTGGCTTTGTTTCAGCGCTCGACTCAGAGGGACCCGATTGCGACGCTGGAGTTTTATCAGAAGACCTGAATAATGTTTAAGTATCAGTGTCTACGCATAGTCATCAACAAGCACCAGTTCTAACGACATTCATGCAAAAACTCTGTTCTTCGGTTCTGAGTACATATTATAATAAATCACTCCGACATAATAATGATTAGCTGGAATACTTCCTCACTTCAATAAATTTTCAAAGCTCTGAAATCCAAGTCTAAATATTACTCGATTCAGAAGGGCAAAATAAAAATGACGTGCAGAAGGAGAGCAGGAAAATGACCACAAAGCAAAGCAGAAATGTGCTCCCAATACACGGAAAGAGAATCCGTCATGAAAAGGTCGATCCTTGAACATACTACGTAGAGAATCTAAAGAGACTTCAAAAATTAGACCTCGTATGATAAATCACCATTATGACATTATTGAATGAGAACCATTGAGAGATAGAGAGTTAGAACAGTCATTTTACTTGAGACTTAAGCCACCAACTCCACGGAAATCGTCTAGAGCACCTGCGAATGCAACAAATTGAAATTATCAGGAAACAGTGATAACAAAATACTGCTCTAGTGATATCTATGCTTACGAAGATGATTAAATCATGGCATGTGCAGAATAAGCTCTGCAATAGCATTTCTGGGCAGACCTTGAGAAGCTCCAAGAATAGAAGTGGCATATGTAAATCCCGCCGTTCGTAAGGGCACATATCGGTTGAGATAGACTTAACCTCTTATGTTACAATAGAAGTTTACAGACGCAACCACTATACAAAAGGAGGTTTAATCTCGTGATAATCGGCACTCTCTATTCAAGAATAGTGAGTGTAAAGTAATGTACACGTAGATTAAAACTTATTCCTGAATGTCTATGCCGATCGTATTAACCTAACCCTAATCAGAGCACCTACTATTCAATTTGTGTGCTCTTGGATTGTAGTATAATTCTTCAATCTCAGGTCCATAAACTCGTATCGACACAAATCACACTACACGACACCCGCGAGCGTAGGACGAAGAGAGGATAAGACGTTTTATGCGCAAGTACAAATCTCAGCAAACACAAAAAAACCGATAAATTATCTTAACAACTAAACCAAAAAATCTTAAATGATCGTTCTGGAGAGGCACACATCTTCCAAAACATACCGAGGACTCACGCCGCACTTTTACCTTGAATCAATTGCAATTTGAAGTCACGTCCCGCTAAGTAAGACTTGCTCCCCCCAAGACATAAAATTGAAATTGAGAGCGACCAGGTAGTAAACTAATCGTTGCGAAGCACCATTACAGAAACCGATGAGGCAACAAGTCAAAAGAAAGCCAAAGCTCGCCTACGACGTACTATCGTCAAACGTGCGCCGTGATCTCACCTTACAAAACCCTCAAAAACCCAGAAAATTCCTCAAATTTTCGTGTTCACAGAGAATTGTGTCAAAATCCCTACATCAAAACTACTGAACGCCGGAAGATTCACGAACCTCATTCTTACGCCATCTTGGACCTAAAACCGGACGAAAAGGGCTCAAAATAAGCTCAAAAAAAAATTCTAGTGGTAGGAAAAATTGATGACAAGCAAGGAGAGGGATGAGCTACGTACTGTCAAGCAAGTCATCGTCAAAATCCTCGTGGTCGGCCATTTCGAAGAGCGATTCTTAGCTATGGCGACACAGATTGCCGCAGTTCAGTGATCCCTATGTTGAAGACGACGACGAAATTGAGCGAAGAACTCCCTTCGTCGACGGCGAGCGACGTGGCCGATTTCTCGTTCGCCTCGTCGACTGATTCTGCGCTTCCCTCACCTCGAAGCTTCTTTTCTGTGCAAATAGTGTGGGTCATAGTATTTTGCACTTCATAGAATATCACATGTTTATGTAAGCAAAATAATTATTTAAATATAGAAATTGGAACTATACTTATGTTTTCTTTCATGATTTTAGTACAGTGAGAAACTTAAAATCTGGATTGTTTAAAAGACGTGCAAAACATTGTCTACTTTATTTTGATTTTTATTTTCACCTCTGATAGTAATATTGTCATCTTTTAGTATATGCATTTCTTCATGTGATCATACGATTTCGGGACTCATTTCGATTTTATGGGCTTTGTTTGGTTGTAAAAGTTAACACTTGGTTAATACTGAGGATTAAAAAACCAAGATTTTCCCCTATTTTGCAATAAGGTCATTAAAATTCAAACATTTTTAAATAAATTTTTAAACGGGTAATGTATAGGAATGTATAAAGCTGTTATTTCTTCACAGATAACGCAATCATATCAATCCATACATTAATTTTCTAAAACACACAATTTTTTCCATGAATTGGAAGAAGTTCCAAAGTCTAAGGTAAATTAGAATGGTAATTGTTAAAAGGTTCTTGAAGCACAATGTCATATATTCATGAAATAAAAAAGAACCAATATGAATGAATTTTTACTTGGTAAGTAAAATCTTACTACCTGTTTTAAACATGAAACAATCTATTACTTTTTTTTTTTAATCTACTCTCTCATGTATATATGTATGTATATATATATATATCATCATATTTTGAAGAAGTTCTCATACATATACATACATGCGCAATGAAAAAACTGAAATCAAAATTGAAGATCACATTTAGGATTGTTATTAGTTGTTAAAGAGTGAATTTTATATTTTGAGGATGAACAGTCAATCTTTAAAGAATCTTTAAGTGTGAATCTATGTATATATACACATATATATATATATATATTAAAGCTGTAGATACCCGGTTGATGTCTGTTTGTTACCCGTGGATGCAACGTTTCCAATCAAAACCAGAGTTGAGCATTCCGCTCCGCCATGATGCTCGGGCTAGGGGCGGGCAGGAGCGAAGGTTTCTAGGGCTCGACCGTTCCATCGCAGAACACTATTTCACAACGACCGTTTCGTGATGGAACCTGTTCTCTCGAATAATATTATCAATTTACTGTGATCAATTTGGAAAACCGTGGCAGTTTCAGAATGCCTTTACTTCCGCTTAGTTCAGACTTCACATACATCTCACTCATGTGAGTCATTTGGTGGAGAAGAATGTAACGTATGAACATTCCCGTCAACTGATGTCTTCCTTTCAGATTATAATGTAACCGTCCGAGCTTCAAAGAAGCTCTGAAACTGTTTATTACTCATATTTTCATTAGAACCGTCAAATCGACCATCAAATTTCTGTGATCGTAATCTTCAGTCACACATGTATTTGCTTTGAAGTGATTGACGTCCTAGAAGTCTTGTTTGTAAGCTCCTCCTTCAGGCATCTGGCCAATTCCTTTCTCAAAGTTTCCCTCTTTCTATTTGCCTGCTAGAGATTAAAAGAAATGAGAAACCAACACTCTCTACGCAGGGGAATAGACAAAGTTAGAATCAGGGCGTAGCTGTTTGATAGTTCTAATTCTTCTAATTCTTCTAATTAGAGACCCCAGAGTTAGTTACAATTTGTTAAGATTGTGGACACTATTAAAGACACAATCTGTAAGAGAAATGCACTCATCAGTTAATTGTATATACTAGTACATGCTATGTTGCAATCGAATACTTTCATACTCACGCAGAGGAATTTATTACAGAAATATATGAGGATAATTTTGTCGTTGGACATGATGACCTTATTCATAGGGCAACTTAACCACTACCTGTACCACTTATCGAGATAATTGATGTGTGAAAATTACGATGTTCCAGATTTATTTTTTGTCATACCTCAGTATCTCGAGGTAAGGTTGGCGTAGGCTGGGTTGATCGTTTTGGTCTGGGATTTGGAGCTTCAGCTTTGCTTTCAAATTGCCTGAAGAATCTAAGCTGCTTCTCTCGGGCAGCTGTACAGTCGTGTCCACAAAACACCAGAGGGTTGCATCTATTAATCAATTTTACAAAGCTGTTTGGTGTGCACTATGGGTTGAGAACAACAGTTGGTTGCAGAATTGTGAATGCGTTTCTAAATCAGACAAAGTAGGCCCTTGTTCTTAATTTCCACTGATCAACTGTATAATTCAGACTTTTTGCTGGATAATGAAGAACGTGTTAACGAACATTTTTTGTGAGCGAGGATGCGATCTCGTTGCTGCTGCAAATAGCGCCTTCGTTGCTGAATATCTCCATCATTCACCTGCCATCTCAGGTACCCACATTTTTTGGTAACTCACCTTCACAGCAATCAGTGAACTATTTTCAAACAAATTAGGTCACAATCTTGACACATGCTAAGAAGTGAAAGTGCATAGAGAATTAGAAGAACGTAAAAGTAGTTCGAACGCTGACCAGCGATTTGAGTGATTTTAACTTCCACTCGTTGATGTCAGCATACAAATCTTCAAATGTTTCGCAACTTTTTCGAATGAAAATTACCGAAAAGAATTTAGATGTAATATATTTGAGATCATAAGCTAATCAATAAGTGTTGGTACAGTTCTTCATTGGTTAGATGCATGGGGTCGAGGTAATGTGCCAAGTCTTACAGCAAGTTTTCGTCAAAACAAAATTCACTAATTGCAAGTAGTAATATTATAGGTCTTTTACTAGGTGGTAGACGAGAGCTCTGGAGCTTTCTCCTCATTTTGATCTTGCCTCTCTTCATCCAAATATTTTGCCTCGTCAAGACATTCGATCAGCTCCTCACTATCTTGCTCTAAAGGTGGGTCTCCCATGATTACGGCCTCCCGAAAGGATACCTTCATGGTGCTCGTAGTTTCCCTTCGATTCTCCCTAGAGGAAGCTTCATTCTCAGGTGTCGCCGGCAACGAGACTTCGATTTTGTGCTCTGGATTTTGGACTTCGCCAGCCCTGGGGGGTTCTTTCTCATAGTTTGATGAAGTTACAGGATTTGATGATGAGATCAACGATTTCCTATTTTCATGTGTGACATCGTTCAAAGAAAAAAGAATCAGACCACAAGAGTACTGAATAATTTACAATTTATTTCGAATCAGACGCCATTCAGAACCACCTTTATTTTGCATATGGATCATATGAGAGTTCAGTAGTATTTGTAGATTCTCACATGATCGTCTCTTTGTTCTGAAAAGAAATGTCTGGAGTGTCTGGAGGATCCAGGATCTGTGTTAAGGTCACATGATCTGTGTTAAGGGAATGAGTTATAGCATCTTTTCCCTTTAATTCGTCGTCACTTTCCTCACGCTGATCACCAAGACCGGCATGATCCTCCACCAGTTTCCTAGATTTTCTTTCAAACAATCAGGGTGAGTGATCTGAACGTTGTTTGTCTTCCAATCAGTTTCGAACTACTCTCTCTAATGCAATTGCTTATTGTGATTCCAATGGTGAAAGGTTTGAGTTTATCATTAAGCAGAGTATTGAGCAGGCAATTAAGCACCCAATTCTACTTATCTTTCTTTCAAGGTCTGTAACCTTAGTGAGGATGAGTACGTACTGGCTTGTATCAGGGAGAGTTACTGGATCCAAGTCTACATTATTCACCTGCAGAAGTTTAAGCGACCATTGTGCTCTCTGTCAAACTCCGAAGTTAATTTTAGCATCAATTTGATGCTTAAATAACTGTGCGTACCACTTGGGTGAAAATGTAAATGGGCAGAAGAACCTTGGATTGCTTCTGAAATGCTTCAGCAAAAGAGAGAGACTTCGCTGCTTCTTTGTCACTCAGTTGTCGCTGCTTCGACACATCTGAGAGATGGTCTATGACAGAGTTTAGGTCAGCTGTTCCCACCAGCGACCAATGGACAGATAGTGAGGAAATTTTCTACGATTTATTTTCAGCTAATTAAGACATGGTGTTGTTGGGAGTTCAGCAGAAATCGCTACCAGGAACTTGTAGCGCATGTGCCTGGCTCGCCATCCGACTCAAAGCCTGATTGCTGATCTGGAAATTGCGTTTCAGCATCATCTCCTGCCGCAAATTTAAAGGTGAAAAGAACTCCCTGTTTCCATCATTTTGGAGTTCTGTGAAAAAAACTTCATTGATTGAAAAGGGTCTGATCTAATACCTTGAACAGGAGGAAGTCATCCACGATGAGAATGGATGTCACCACTATGCTGTACAATGATGAGTGCTCTTCACTGCAAAGTTAGATGTAAATCAGCATCCATAACGATGGCAACACATCATGCATGCAGAACTCCTACCCGAAAAAGGTCACTTGCAAAGTTGGTTACGTTCTGAATCGATTGCAAATTTCATAGAGTTGAACAATCCCGGCAATCGGTTCAAACCATGGAGCAGAGTGAACACCTTTGCTTCTGTGACGAAGGTTCAAACAAATACAACAATCTTGCAAAATGTACGTTTGCGCAACTTACATGGCAAACATCTGAACAAAGGTGGGGACAGGGATTCCCAAGCTACTTAAGAAATCGGAAATGAGACCATCCACAAGCTCCTTGAAGTTCTCATGAACCTGAATCAAAGCCACAACGCTGACTGCAGTCAGAACCCTTAATGGGAGCTTCAAATTGGCGACCACGTTGCTCTTAAAAGTGCAAGTACCATCAACTGGAGTTAGGTCAGATTCCTGTATTCTCGATGTATTACTGTGATTACTATAATGATGATTAAATACAAGTTACTTCCACTCTGACACTCCGCAAAGCAGTAAAAACTCTGGGGGATTTAAATATCCACCTCGGAAAATTCAACTAAAATCTAGAAGCGGCTGAACTCACGATGGTATACTCCAGCTTGTTATCGTCAGAATCCTCAAACATACCACAATTCTCATCAATAAAATCCAACAGGGGCACGGAGTACACAGGGCTCTCGAGGAACTTCGATACTGCATCTCGCATCCAAACAGGATCGCGGCACAACTCGGGTCGCTTGGTCGCCATTCTCGTCAACACAATCCTTTCATTTGTAACTCCTCGATCAATACCCCCTCATAACCGGTTCCTATTCAATCCCACGAGCCAAACTTCCCTGCCGACTGTGCTTCGACAGCCCTGTGCACACGCTCTCGGACTGAGAATCAAAAATGTAGTGGAGGTCGACGTTCCTTACGGACAGGTTTTTGGAATCCTGGGAATGGAGGAGACAAGGCACAGCGCACTACAGCGTCAGTTACGGTCTCGTTTACCAGAATCTCCGATCACCTTCCCTTTGCTAATGATCATCTTCCAATTGCTACAGCATTAACTGCTAAGAACTGCACTGTTGCGGTCACTACAGAACTCCACGAAGACGAAGAGAGAGGGAAAGCTTCAGGTCCTGGAGGAAACCTATAGGCGATGGAGTGTCGCCCATCGCTTTAGTCACTGCATCCATCCATTTCTCAAGAGCCCTGCCTTGTTCTCACTTCCAGGGCTACGAAAGCCCTAATTTTTTCATCTTTTCTTCCATCCTTCATTCCACTATTCAGTAAAACTGAAGAATTTCCCATCTTTTTTCTATCAAGGTACGAAAAGGTGCCTAGCTGGTAATTTGTCTTCTTCATTCATAAATGGATTTTGGACAATTTTAAATTTTTATTAAATTTATTACAGCTTAGATATATTAGATGTCATTATTTTATAATAAAAATTGAGATATTTCACGTAATCAAACTAATATATTATAGGTCTAAAATATAATAAATAATCTACAATTTATAGTCATTTTAGATGAATTTTACTAAAGTATTTTTTATTTTTATTTTTAAATATTATTATTATTAATACAAAATAATAATACCTAAATCTTATTTAATCAAAAATCTATGACCATTTAAGTTGTTGATATTTATTTGTTATACACTTAAAATAGATTTGCAAATAATTGCTCTGAATAAGAAACCAAATTATATTAAGATGTTCATTTTTCTTCCTTTTTTAAAATCTAGTGATTATAATAAAGCATCAAGGTTGTGCCTATGCTAAGATTTGATATAATGGTTTAATAATTTATAAAGGTGTGACTTTAGTTGCATTATAGAATCAAGAATGATAATATAGATTAGACTAATACAAGCAAATGGTAGCAATATCATTTATTTTTTTATTTTTTTAAAATTGTTGTGGTTGCAAAATTATGGCAACATATGCTGACAAAGTCAAAGGCACAATTGTTAGCAATAAGTAGTCTTACATAAGAAAAGGATTGGATGTACTAAGAACAAGCACAATTTTCCTTATAGATCCTGCAGAGGAGCTTAAGGTTTTTCACTCTTACAACTTCCATCAATTCCAAAATCAACCTTATCCCACCAATTTGTCACTAAGTCTTTGCCTCTAGGCTATTCTAAGAGTTATGTTGAATTGGTTGTTTGTACCACCTCTTGTAAGATAACTTTGAATAAAAAGTTAGTGAAAGAAAAAGTGAAAAAACTATCTTAGAATGCTATTAATGCATATTTTGTAGAAGATGAACTTAGAGATGTGGCTTAAAAATAATAGAAGAAAACACTTGGAGAATCTACATATGATTTCATTTCTATATGTTGAAGAACAGCAAGTACTTGCTTAGTTACAATCACATAAAGTTTAAGCATAGTATGTTGCTAATAGTAAAAAGGCAGCAAAGAGATAAAGTAAGTTATTGTGGTGGTACCGAGGCTTTAGTAAGATGAGGTAGAAATGGATGTAATATCAAATGGATGGAAGTTGCCTCGTTGGTGCAGAAACCACCACCTATAAGTAAAGAGTGTTGAAAATAAGAATTATCTTCCTCCACACTTTTATTAGAGTACAATCCTTGCTGATGCTAAGTGTTTGTAGCCTTTAGACTTCTTTTTCTTCAATAGGTTATGGGCCCACTCACATTTGCTTGAATGTCTTTTGAAGTCTTTGAAGTATTTTGTAAGTGTGGAGTAGATGAAGTTGTTGTTGCTGATGTTAGGTATTAAAAGTACCTAACTTTCAGATTCAGATCTAGATCTAGATCTTGGTTTGCTCTTACTTGTGGTTAAGAGCATTTTGGTGTTGATGGTTGATTTATCACATAAAGTTGCTTATTTTGCTTTATACTCCTCTTTTGGTGTATAGAGGTGACTTGTGAATATAAGAGAGATATTAGAATGACAATTTAGATTTGGAAAGGTCACCAGACTTGTGAAAAGCCTTAGAAGTGAAGTTGAGAGTGTTTTTTGAGAGTAAAAATACTAGTTTGTTCACAAAGAAGGATTCTATGATTCTAAGGCAACAAAAACTTCTTGCTAATTTTAAGAACATTAGGACTTCCTCTTACAACCTTTGTTGATACAACTCTGCCTTAGACATGGCTTCAAGTGAGGGTGAAGGCTTGAGAGTTATTGAGAAGTTTAGAGGTAAAAATTTCTACCATTGGAAGGTCAAAATGGAGCTTTTGTTGGCATCTTTGGATCTTTGGGATATTGTAGATGAAAGTGAAGAGGCTCCAAGCAAAGATGCTGATATGAAGGAGAAGAAGGAGTTCAAACATCGTGAAAAGAAGGCTTTTGGGTTGATTGCAACAAATATGGATGAAGCCAACTTCTCTCACATTATCTCTTACAAAGCACCAGCAGAAGCATGGAAGACTCTTTGCAACATCTATGAGAGCAAGAACTTATCCAACATTATTTATACAAGGAGGAAGTTCTTCACTTGCAAGATGGAAGAAGGTGAAGACCTCATGGCTCATTTCAATAAGGTAAAGGCTGTTGCAAACCAACTAGCAACTATTGACAAGCCTTTAGAAAAAAGTGATATTGTCATGACCTTGCTAATGAACCTTCTCGAATCCTACAACTACTTTATTGTAGCATTGGAGTCCATCAAAGTAAAAGAACTTACAATGGACTATGTGACGGCAAGACTTACCCATGAAGTAACCAAGAAGAAAGAAAAAGAGCCCCAAAGTGAAGTTTCAGCATTGTATTCACGTCAAGACAAGGGCAACTATCCAAATCAACGAGGTAATGTCAAATCTTACTTCATTTGTGGCAAAATAGGCCATTTTGTTCGAAATTGCTACAAAGGCAAAAGGATGGAGAAGGAGAATGCAAATAATGTACAAGATGAATTTGGAGGACAAGATTATTCATTCACGGCAACAAATGGGACCTCTATGGCTGCCATGTCAAGATGGATTGTGGATTCAGGTTGTTCCAAGCATATGACACCTTTTATGTGTTCATTTGATACTTATGATGCTATTCCAACATCAAACGTGGTGTTGGCGGATAGTGGTACATGTGAAGCCATTGGAATTGGCTCTATTATGGTGGAGGTGGTTGTGAATGGACAAACCAATAGGATCAGACTCAAAAACGTCCTCCATGTGCCTAAGATGAAGCAAAACCTTCTTTCGATGAGTAAACTTATAATGGAAGGTTTTAAAATTCAATTTGACATGAATGGATGTTTTGTAAGATCATTGAGTGGAGACAAGGTTTTCAAAAGCTTAAAAGACGGAAATTTGTACTACCTCATTTGTAAGAAGGTGAATGGAGTGGAGGTAGCTGCATTTGCTAAGTTTACATCAAACGAAGACAAGTTGAATATATGGCATCGTCGCCTTGGCCATTTGAATGTGAAGAGCATGTAAGAGCTCAAGACCATGGTAAGTGGCTTAGATCTTGGAAATACAAGCCAAAATGCAAAACAACTTGCATGTGAAGGATGCATACAAGGCAAACAACAAAGGGCCTCATTTCCAAGGAGTGTAGCAACAGGTGTTACCAAGTTACTGGAGATTGTCTATTCAGATGTATGTAGACCTATGAAAAATACAAGTATTGGAGGATCAAGGTTTTTCCTCACTTTCATTGATGATTATTCAAGAAAGATTTGGATCTATATTCTTAAAGCCAAGAGTGAATGCTTTTGGAGGTTTAAGGAGTTTAAAGCACTTGTTGAAAAACAAAGTGAATGCAAGATCAAGGTGCTACGTATGGACAATGGAGGTGAATACATGTCTAAGCAATTTGATGTTTATTTGAAGAATGAAGGAATTGCTAGACAAACCACAACTCCGTACACTCCACAACAAAATGGTGTTGCTGAAAGGGCAAATCAAACCATTGTAGAGACGGCAAGGAGTATGTTACATGCTCAAAACCTTGGCTATGAATTTTAGGCGGAAGCTGTGGTGAATGCAGTATATACAAGAAATAGATGTCCAATAAGTGCTCTTGCATCAATGACACCACAAGAAGCATGGAGTGGTAGACAACCTTGCATTTCCCATATGATGACCTTTGGTTGCATTGCATATGCAAAAACACCTGATTGTATGAGGTCCAAACTTGATGCAAAAGGTACAAAGTGTGTGTTTCTTGGTTATTGTGAAGGTACCAAGGCATATAGGCTAATGTGCTTGGAATCCAAGAAGATCATCAAAAGTCGTGATGTTGTGTTTTTAGAGCACAAGAGTACTTGTCAGCACTTGGAGATGTGTCTAAGTGGGAGTAATAGTGTGTTTGTGGACACATCTTTGAATTCAGCAAAGAAATAAGAAGATGAAGTCAATGAAGATGATGAAGATGAAAAGCCAAAGAAGGTTGAAAAGATGAAGGCTCCTATAAATGATAAGACCAGCAATGAAAGAAATGAAGATGTTGAAGATTGGGATGATGATAATGATGAAGACTTCCAACCATTGAGTGAGAAACGACAAGGTTTAAGAGTTGGAAAAGAACAAGGTGAATGTTCTTCAATCAATGAAAGGAGATATCCTTTGAGAGAAAGAAGGCAACGTGGCGAATGGTAGAAGGATCACATCTTCCCTCAAGTAAGTGAAGAAAATGCAAATATTGCTCTTCTTGCTGATCCATTGTCTTTGTATTAATGCTATGAAGAGTGAAGATGCAATCAAGTGGAAGAAGGCTATGGAAGAAGAGTACCAATCTCTTATAGACAATGGTACCATGTCTAAGGGTGGACCAATCCATTAAAAAAAAAAAAAATGGTAAACAAGATATTGAGGTACTTAAAAGGATATGTGTTCTTCATTGGAGTGGGAGCCATTTCATAGAATTGCAAAAGACAACATGCTCGCTGATGTGCTTATAAAGGCATTGGTCAAGGATAGACATCATGACTTGATTTAAAGATTAGATTAAAAGCCTTTTGAATATTAGCAAAGTAGGAGTGTTGAAGAACAACAAGTACTTGCTTAGTTACAATCACATAAAGTTTAAGCATAGTATGTTGCTAATAATAAAAAGGTAGCAAAGAGGTAAAGTAAGTTATTGTGGTGGTACCGAGGCTTTAGTAAGATGAGGTAGAAATGGATGTAATATCAAATGGATGGAAGTTGCCTCGTTGGTGCACAAACCACCACCTATAAGTAAAGAGTGTTGAAAGTAAGAATTATCTTCCTCCACACTTTTATTAGAGTACAATCCTTGCTGATGCTAAGTGTTTGTAGCCTTTAGACTTCTTTTTCTTCAATAGGTTAATAAATACAAAAAAAAACCTAATTGAATAATAATTAAATCCTAAAAGAATCCTAACTAAATCCTAAAAATCCTAACGAAACCTCAAGTAAAATCCTAACCAAACCTCAAGTAAAATCCTAACAAAACTTGGTCAAACCTTAAATAAACACCACATCAAATTTCAAAACTCAATACATATTACATTGTCTATTGATTGTAATTCAATTTTTTTACACATTTTAATATATTGATTAAAAAAAAAAAAAAACAAAAAAACAAAAACAAAACAAAGTTTGAAGAGGATTAATTTGTATAAAATGGGAGTAAATACTTCTAATTTGCTTTAGTGTCAATTGTCCTCCTTATCCAACCTCAAAGTAAAACTTCAATCCCAACTTTAATTGTTTTGGTTTTTTATTTTTTTTTCTTTTGCATATTTAAAGATTTTATATTTTATATGTGTTTTGATGAGTCAAGTATGTAATTCTTACTTAAGTAAACAAAGATTTAAAAAAAAATTGTGGCCTCATTATTGCTTGATAATTCAATTCCTCTTACTTCCATATTTGAATAAAATATTATATGACAATCTAAATTATAAAAATAAATACCATTTTACCTCACATTCTATATTACAAATATTATGCAATTCTTAAATGTTATTTTGTAGAATATTTTTGTTCTTTTAACATTGTAGAGTTCTTTCAAAGAAAGTTGTACAACTATAAAAGAGAATAATAGGTACTACCTTTATAAAAATAAAAAGACAAAAAACTATTTGAATTTTGCTGTTTGTAGTTTAATCTTCACACATTTATACAATAAAGGTATTTTTTTAAAATTACAACTATCGATTCATTTGTAAACACTTTCAAACAAATTATAATTACTTTAAAACATATAAGATTTGTTGCTGACACTTTCATGTATCTGAATTAACAGAGTTTTAATTTCATTAGAACTTAACTACAGCAAAATATATCCTATAATTTATTTTTAAAAAATATTGCTCATAAGTCTCACGTGGATTACGTGTAATTTATTTTGCTCTGATTCGTTTTACCTCTCTTCTGATATTTTCAACCCTTTCGATATGTAATCAAATAGTTGGTTAAATTATATGATTTCATGCATTAAGAAGAAATTAAAATTAAAACACAGAAGTAACACTTTGGAGGGATCTGCATAGTTGACAAATTAGAATGGTATGCACATACAATTTACTCTTGGTATTATTGATTCAAGTACATATTTTGTTTCTTATTACATGTTTCTCACAGACATCAATCACAATCAATTATACACTTAGAAATACTCTATTACACAGTCATTATGTATATTTGTTGGAAATATTAGTATGTGGATAGACCTACACAAAAGCACTTCCTGGGTACAACTTTAAAATTTAGGACAAAATCCAGAACTAGTAAGAAATTTACACTAACAAATCATGACTATCAAAAACATTTTATCAACTTGTCGAAGGTATCAAAAGGCAACATAAGCTAGAAATGCAAGAGTCAGAGAAGTGTCAGAAGAGCGCATGGTCAGTCAGAGCAGGCACCATTTCAAACCTCCAATTCCACAGCAGGGAAATTCCAACACAGAAGTTTGCAGACAAGCAGCTTAAATAAGCCGTAACTAGATGGCTTTCCACGGCAGAGCATGGGTGAAACTGAACCAAGGAACTGGTGTACAGCACCTAGACAAAGTACAAGATTCTCTTTGGTCTTTATGACTTGACCCATATGTAAAGCAGCAATTACACATTGGATGGGTATTGCTGCTGGAAGTGCAGACTGGTCAAGAGTCTCAGGCTACCTCCAACCCCAGCTTCTCTACTGTCTCCTAGATCCTCATTCTCACGATGTCAGCATTCCAGGAGCCACTACCTCCTGCTTGCATAGTGTTAATTCACGGTGAGGATTCGAAAAAATTGTGTAAGCCGCTAAAACGGCCCTATCCTCTTTTCGAAAGATGAGTGGACAATCTCACAAAACTGTGGTTGCTGTTATGGCTGGGAGGCAAGATTTTCGACCAGGATATGGTGCCACATCTTTCAAAACCAAGTAAAGGATGTGACTGGAACTAGACTTTCTTCTGGTGGTTCTTGTCCCCGACTGCCACTGGTTTAATGATCAGGAGATTTTGATTACTTCTGCAAATTCATACCCCATACAAGCATTCCCAAGTCAGATCGATATCAAATTATATCATTAAATATAACTTTGAAAATCGACATCGAGTATCAATGCATAGATAGGCAGGTTTATACCTGTTGGTACGGCATGAACATAACTGGACTTCCGGGTTGCCCATACATCATGTGCGGTGGATACTGAACAGCAAAAACGAATTCGAAATGTCAGATGTAATCTTGACAACACGTTTACAAAATATATATCGCCTCAATTTCAGGAAAACTATCCACTTATAGAAAAAAGAAGAACATGAGTACTGCCAGAACAAGATACATAAGAGGTGCTTTAGATGTGACAATGTTGAGGAAGAACAGAACAGAAATTAAAGAAAGAAACATTTCGGACCATAGCATGGCATGCTATCTTGACCAGCACGCTCACATAATGTGATGGAACTAAAATATGCATCTCAAATATAATAAGGTCTGACACAAAGATCTGACTTTTCAAAAGAAATTCACACTAAAATCCTATTATCTGCTGTCGTAGACCAACATAAATTTGGTTAGAATAAGAAACGACCCCACCATGGATGATATCCATGCACATACGCGCCAAAATCTAGGGAACGTTTTGGCAAAGTGAGGATGATACCAGTTGGCTGTTCGGGTGCAAAAGCCCGGGCTGCATAGCAGAAGTTGAGGGCTGCATGGGGAATTTTACTTGTTGAGGATGACCATAAGGCAGTGCCTGCAACGTTCAAATAGAAATGAAAGTTAACACAATACTCACTGCTGCGAATTGCATTACACAATTGAAAAGTGAGAGCCAATGTAGTAGAAACATATACTATGAAAACTATTTCTTGTCATGCTAGATGCTTTGCTTACTAGGAGGACAAGAGCAAGTAACTGAATCACTGGAAAATGACACAGTACTTGACAAAGACCGTTCATAGGATAAATTTTAACTGGACATTCACAATACATTGACATAAAAAAATAGATGAGGCATTAAAGAACGAAGGCAAGCTAAAAACACTTAACAATGTTAGTACACACGAGTGATAAGTGTCTTGGATATGTAAATACATAGCATGCTCAAGAATGTCAACATCTACTTAAGAGTCAAACGGCAAATAATACGCAAACGACCTGCTGCTGTGAATGAGAAGCCACTCTCATATTCGGCTGACCCGGTAAAATACCACCACCTCCAACTCCTACTCCAACTGGAAACCCAGGCACCCAAGGCTGCATGTATGGTGCTGGGTTACTTGGAACAACTCCCGAGGGTACCGCATGATTAAACGGGGAGAACTGATTCTGCTGACCGATATTTTGCAGGTTCACGTGAGATCCTGGTGTTGAAGTTGCCGCAGGAACAGATGGATGCACAGAATAGATAGGATTTTGAACAATAACTGGATGCTGCTGAGATACCACTGGAGTTACACGAGCGGAAGATGTACTTGGAGTGAATGCCTTAGCGTTCGGATTAAGTTTAAATTCCTGCAAACAGAAAAGACAGTTGGGCTCTTAAGACCTTCCAATGTAAGAAATTAAACGATGAAAATGAATGTTTCTGGTAGTGACGAACACATAGTGCAAACTAGAAGAAAAATACTGATCGACAAACAATAAAGTGAAATTGATACCTTCGCATGTGCATTCAACGAAGGTTTTTTTGATGCAGAGGTAGCTGACAAAGGTTGTGTGGATGATGAGGGTGAGTTTGGAGTGGACCCTATCTGATTTCGCAAACTGAGGAATGGTCCTGAGGTTTGACTGCTAGAAGATGGTGATGACACTGCATTCCTACTGGGTATCATACACACCAACCCCGTGGATCCGACAACAGAGGTGAGTGGCTTCTCTGATGAAGCGAGACTCGTAGGCAAAGGCAATGATGAAGGAGGAGGAGCTGAAGCAAGAGAACTGCGTTGAAGAGCAGCAGACGTTGGTGCTAGGTTTGATTTGGAATCATTGCTGGGGGGCTGAACGTTACCATCTTTGGACATATCTCCAGAGGGAGCTTTTACTGTCATGGAAAATAATTCAAAATCTTTCACTTCAAACGAAAGAAATATTACATGACATTGTTGTTAATGATACTTTCTCAGCCGCAAGTTACGACCAAACATTTAGCAGGTGCCGGTAGAATCACGTTCTTAGAAGAAAATATATATATATATATATATATATATATATATATATATATATATATATATATAGTGGTCATTTTTAGAATGGAAGCAATAGCAGAAGCAAGCATAACACTGATAACCTAATGAAGGAATCACAATTTTACAGTACGATTTGACTTGAACAATTAAAGAGAAGCAATTAATATAATAGAGTTGAAAAGAAACCTGTAGTTCTTGGAGACCGTGGCTGCGACTCCTTCAGACACAAACACCATCAGGTTTTAGACGCACAACAGACAACATTAACACGGCAATCTACCTAACTTGAAGGTTTCAACCAAGTCCGAAGGAGTACATAATTAAAGAATGCCCTTGACGACGATAATTGGATAGGCTAGCTTAGTGCATCAAAGAACATAAGATGACAGAAGTTTAGGAATTATTTCAATTACTGTGTTATCCGTTGATACCTTATATGTCTCTGACTGCGCCTTCACTTGCTCCATTTTATTCTTCTGCTTAAATTCCTCAAATTTTCTGAACAAATGAACAGCCAGTACCCATCATTCAATGTCGATTGGGCTCAATGGAACACTCCTTCCAACACAAAAAGATGAAAGTAACCAGTGACAACGAAAGCACTGTACCTCCATAATCGTCTACCTCTTAGAAAAGAAACACGAGAAGATAGAAGCAAAAATAGATAAATTAGGAACACCAGCCACATGAATGAACGAAAATGCCTACCTGTGAACTTCGGGAGCAATTTGAGGAAAGCTCGGATCCAAATTAAGAGCTTTGATGCCTGCTGGATCACCAACTGATGGAGAGATCAGTGGAGAACCCCTTCCCATAGGACTGCTGTAGGGAGAACCAGATCCCTACAAATAAATAAATAAATAAATAAATAAAACAACACAACTGAGTAAGAATCAGAGTGAGGTTACACTATTTACAAAGTACTCATTAACTGATTTTGAGAAACAATACTGTTTCCGATCAATCTCGGAAACAAGAACCCCATACTGAAGACCACTTAAGATTCAGTGTGCCATCCAAGGTGGCATCCTTTTAAATTAATAGATGATACTAGCTCTGCTAAAGACTACATGAAAGCTATTGCGATTTGAGAATACACGTCTCTGAACCTCACATTTATAGACGTCATTAGACCACACAAGAAACTACCCAAATTAAATAAATAAATTTCTGAAATTTGAGATTTTATGAAGGAAAATTGTTTGAGAGGCGGAAGAGGAAGATACCTTATTGGAGTGTATACTTGTGTCACCACTATTTATAAGCGACAGTTTTCGCAATTTAAGCTTCTCCAAAACCATTTCAGAGCTTCCTGAATTTTCCTTTCCCACCGACTGGTCCTGATGCTCTCGCGAAAATTCTGATCTTATGTCATTTACTATCTGCGCACATGTATCATATTCAGAGAGCATTTTATCACGAAGCACGAGGAAAATACTACAGCACACCAGCTATGAAAAATCAAGCGGGGGTTTGTTCAGGCAGTCCGCGATCACTGTGCCCAATATACCTTCTCAAGAAATCATATTCCACTTTCCACATGTCCGAAAGTAGTACATATGTTGTATGAAAAGTTATAATTTTAGGTAGATCTATAGAGCAATCTTGAGCCCAGCTAGAATGCAACTTTCAAACTGCCAGTAAAAGATAACTCATCGATGCTACCACTTACTTGTGTATCTGCAGACGGTGTGGAGCTTTCACCACCATCAATTTGCCCTACAGGAATAACAAGAATCACATATTTTATCAACTAATATATACACATGATGTGTACACCACATATTCAACTGCTGAACAAAAATAAATACAAATCACTTCACGATTATCAATAACTCTAACTACTACTGCTATGTATCTGAACATCACAACACTCCTAAGTACCACAACCAGCACAAGTACTAAGAGAAATCTATTTATAATATTCATGTATTAGATTTCCAATCCCACCACGAAAAAATCACATACAAAGTAGCTAAAAGATGCCTATGGGTCTTAGAAAGATTTGCATACTTGACCTCTCAACATCTAGTCTAAAAGGACGTACCTAAAATAGGAAAGCTAGAATTGCTGTATATAGAGGAGCTAACACCGACCGAAGTGACTGGTTCTCCAAATGTCTCATCATTACGGTCGTCAATGTGCAGATCTTCATCATCGTCACCTTCATCTTGAAACCCACGCCCTACGGAAGAGTACTTAGTCTCTTCATCCAAAGCTTCCAGCTCGGGAGCCAAATGAACTCCTCTTTCCTGAAGAAATCCATTTTGCTATTAGAAAATAGGTCAATACAATAAACTACTGAGAAGCAGGCAACCCAGTACCAATGATAAACTGAAATCCTCAAAACACTATATGAACTGCAACAGTAGTCCAAAAGATTCAGCAAACCACAATTTTTAAAACGCAAATAATCAGGATGATTTAATCAACATAAACTTGAACAAAACAAACTCAAAGACATCCAAAGAAACGTAAGAAGATTAAAGATCTACATAAAACTAAAAATTATTCCAAGGCATACACAGCAGAATACTGCATCTACTACTTCGTCCGAATTCACGAGCGATTAACCACTAATTAATACCTCTGCAAGATGCATATTCCGTGTTTGCTGCCCTTGGATTTCCCGAGCAATTCTCTGGGCCTCTCGCTCTCTTTCATGCATTTGTGGGCCTCGTACCAACTTTGTTGTGTATAACTCTTCATCGAAAGTAGTTTCCACACCAAATAAAGTTTTGTTTACCTCGAATTGATCCCAATTCCCACCGCTGCAAAAGAAAAGAGGCAATTCCAAAAACAGCGTGACTAAGCACCACAAGAAGGGCGATATTAAGATAGTGAAAAAACATCATTGGGAACCATATGTCACTAACCTCCACGCGTTGCTCAAGTTAAAACTTGTGGGATCAGAAGATTCATCATCGGGCTTCCATGGCTTCAGTTCACGCTCAGATTCCCGATGCCAACCTTGTGAAACAGCTGAATCAGTTACAATGTCAGAGCGATTCTCTCGAGTTCGGGAGTTGAATGAACCATCCCCACTAAGGGAAACATCCTGCATCATCCAGAAAGACGAGATAAACGATAATGACGAAAACAATGTACTCCAGACGGACAAGTCCATTAAATATAGTGTGTTAACAGACAACACAAACTTTTACAAAAATAGGAAAAATATATGCACAATTCATAAAAACTGCCATGTTCAGCACCAAAAAGAAGGGCAGAAAGACAGCCTTAAGTACAGTATTCTAGCTATGGCTATTAAATATAAACAATGCAACTAACCTTCGCAATAATTTGTACAATATCTTTCCCTTGAATTTGAAGCTTTTTAATCGGAGGCTTCCTAGCTGCTTCTCTACCTGACTCACCCTGTGTTGGATGCGTACCTTCTTTGACATGTCTTGCCATCTTCAAGATCACTCCTGATGAATGACAACAATGATGCTTTAGGAATGCCAGGATTGGCATAGTTCACATCACAAAGATCTCTGAAAAGTAACCTCTTCAAGATATGTCTTACTAACCACATGACTAAGCCAACGAATGTCAGACGAAAGAATACGAATAATAATGCAAAAAATCATTTAATAATATCATTTGATATTAATTTACAGAACATATTACATGGCATTAGACATATTAGTAAAGCCTTCAATACCAATAACTGATGGAGAAAATTCGAAAAAAGAGCCGGCATATACCATCCACCACAAACTACAATGACTGGATGTTTTATTAGTTGACTGATCGACTTTCATAATTGGAGATACAAGGTATTACACGAGAAAAAGAAGGAAAAAAACATAAAAAGGTATAGTGATGGTGTGGACGTAAAGGGAAAACGAAACCGAAAAAATGAAGCGATACAACAAAGAAACGAGAATACTAAATACAACAATTACCAAGTAAAAAGTCGAGGAATAATGCTTACCGATTTCCTTCTCAAAGCTAGCGGCATGAAATATTCCAGAGTATACATGCCCATCGATTCTTTGAACATCAACATGCTGGCCAATCAAGCAAGTGTACATGTATACAAGCCGATCATGAGCTCCTTTGTTCCCACCTGGAAATCAAAATCAAAGTCAAAATCTAGAACGCTATCAAAATATGGCAGATTTCCAGCTATTTGACATTCCACACATGAGTTTAATAATTGCTTAATTTTCAAGACACTGTCAAGATCATAAGAAACACAGTACAAATAAAACAAAAACAAACTCTGCTAGGAACTCGTGATATAGGAGCCACTCATGGGTGTCGGCTATTATCTGAACAGACACAGATGTCCGCATTATTTAACACTGTGCTCTGCTCATAATTGCATTGAAGACGCTGCAGCAACTTTCTCAAAGCCGAAAGCAATTAAAGGCTACTAAAATTAATGTTGTAACATGCTGAACAAGCCCCGAAAATAAGCCGAAGACGCGTACAGTCGAAGATTTCGTTCCCCTCGGCAGACATCAACCAGACACTTCAGCCTACAATCATGATATATTCTTCGCAACCCAATCATCGTACAACGCAGAAGTATACAACGGGGCACCGAACTCGATACGATTTAATGCATGTTGAAGAAGTTCTGACCTTGGAGATGGGAATTCGAGTTAGAATTAAAGCCGGAAGTTGTTCGCGCGGGTTGTCTCCAAGATTGATTATCTGACCGACTCACGACATCCTTGTCGATCCTTCCACGTCGACCACCACCATTCTGCGATGGCTTCTGCGAAGACCGCGGTAAAATGTGAGTGCGAAAAACGAGAAAAATCAAGTTCTGAATTCCCAACGAGAATACGCGATCATAGAAGCACCGACATAACCGAAGAGGGCGACCACTGCGCGTCCAAAATAGTGAGTATTAAAGCGAGTTGTGCGCACGCACCATTCCAACAACAGCTATCAAACACAGTTCCAAAAGAGAGGGCGAACACTCTCAACCAATGTACCTGCAAATGACTCATATTGAGCGATCCCCTCGGATGACACAACGACACCGAGCCAGCTGGAAACGCCAAGGTCTCTCCCACACTCCTACCTATGCTCTCCCTCCTCGAAATCTCGCACGCACGGAATTTATCTCTTCGGAAAACAATAGCCTTCGAGGAATGATACACCAAATCTCCGACCTAACTCTACTCGTCGGACATAAGATGCACCCAGCCCAGCACCAAAGAACAGGCCTCATGCATCGAAGAACGAAACGCGTCACTACTACAGGACGTCTCGCGAAGCATGAGAAAGAAAGCAAGCAGCATGATGCAGCAGCAGCAGCATAGCGTGAGAGGGAGGGATGCCAAGTGGTGGAGGAGGTGCGAGTGAGAGGGGGGAGGAAAGAGGAGGGAGTGATGGGATTCCAGCAGCACACGGTGCGATTCGGGGCACGAGCATGAAGCGATGAAGCGAGATGATGATGCTCTCTCGTTCAGAAACAGGGACTGAGAGAGGCGATTCGACGAGGGCAGGACGAGGAGGACGAGGAGGGAGGGCATTAGGGTTTGCTCCTCCACTCCTGTGGGTAGCTCCTGTCACTGCTGCTTGACCTATTACCACCAGGTTCCCATTACCGTCTGGTCGTTTTCTCGTTGGAAATAATTTTGTGTTCCCATATATATATATATATATTTAGAAATAATTTTGTGTTCTCATATATATATATATATATATATATATATATATTTATTTATATATATATATATATATATATATATATATATTTATTTAGAAATAATTTTTATTTATATTTATATGTATATATCACTTATATATAATATAAAAATAAAAAGAGAATTCGATTTTTTTTTTCTATAATTTTACATAAAACTAAACATTGTTTAAGCAAAGATGTATTTGATGTTGACGTTTACTTCATGGTGAACTAACAAACATATGATTATACATTAAAAAACCGAGAACATTAAAAATATCTTTTATATCTATTGCAATCGTACTTTTTTATTTTTTATTTAATTTTTTGGTTATATATATATATATATATATATATATATATTGCACTTTGCTTGTAATATTCTATAACACAGTATCAAATATGAAATATTTAAACACAAATTCTTTCTTATAATTCTTTGTAGGCCAATTGAATTATTGTTTACAACATCTTAAAATTCTTCTACAAGTATATAATAAAAAATACAATATATGTATATTTGAGAAATTGGATGCCTATGGTTTTTCCATGTCATAGTTACACAAACAACTTCATAACTTTTTATAATCTTGAATAAATCAATGCAATGTTGCGTCTTGACTTTTGAAAGATACCAAATTGGCATAAAACTATGCACTATCCTATTATGTAATTTAAATAAACTTCTCTAATGTATCATAAATGGTTTATCCAATAGAAGCATAGGAAATAACTCTTTTAATGTATATATTTTAAAAATTGACTTTAAAATAACAATGATAGTTTTCATCCAGTATTGAAATTATATATATATATATATATATATATATATATGTATATATATATTAAAAAAACATTTTTGAAGTGATTATTAGCATCTTTTCATTTCTTCATTGGAATTCTTAATAGAGTAATTAATCACCCTACATGTTATGAAAATTGTTATTATATTAATCAAATAATAGTAATGTAATTTAATATCATCATGTAATGTTTAAAAAGTCTATAATTTCAAATTAAAACTTGTTACATAATCTTTTTGTTGCCAACTTGAATTCATCATGTACTGTTGTATATATTTTCACACACAAGTTATTTTATTATGTTTAGTTTATAAACATGTGTAAAAAAATATTAAATTTCTTCTTAATTTCATGTTTTTATTCTTTTATTTTGATTTTATCCATATAGAACATTCTTAAACTTGTAACATTGATTTTCTAATTGTACAAAAAGAACACTCTCTATGATTCGACTACAATTACCTTATACTTATATATAATTGTTTACTAATGTATTATATATAATATCTTCTAGATCAAACTCATAACATTTTATAAATATTTTAACTTGTGTAAAAAACCATGGATTTTGTTAACTAAAACTAAAAATTTTAAATTTATTTGAAAAAGAATATTAATTATATTTTCTTAGTCTTTTTTTTATTTTATCAATTTATGAGTGCTTTTTTAAATGTTGGTGTTGATTTGCAAAAAAAAATTTATGATGTTAATTAAATAATTTACATGAATAATTTCTATAATGCATTCCAATTTCTATCATTAAGCATAATTTGGTAGAAACAATATTAGTTACATGTTGTGCAACTACTCCTACATTGAAGTATTCATGTACAAATCTAAATTGATATAAAAAATTAAATATTAGAAAAAAAATACACTATTAAACTTAAATAATATATATTAAATGCCACTTCATATAAGATGTACTAAAAGCTTTTATAAAACATGAATCATTTTATAAAGCTTTATACACTTTTATAAAGCTTTTAGTACATGATGTAATCACTTTAATTCTTTGTGTCAACTAGAACAAGTAGTTACTTGCAGCCAATTTAAATAACTACAGTATTTATATTACACTGTTTGACTTTTAAGTTGCATGTACTGAAAGCTTTATAAAACATGTCTCATTTTAATTGACAAAAGTAAAATAGAAACATTTAAAATAAACTATTTTATATTACCAAAAATATTGCAACATATGTGATTTATCCCATTGATCCACCAAACCAATTTCTCAATGAAAGGCTGTAGTGGTTTTGGTTATTCTAAATAATGGTTTAATTAAATACATCCTTTTTAAAAAATGAATATCAAATAGAGTACTTGTTACTAGAAAGCAATACTAGATAATATTACTTTCATCTTCTTCATGGAATTCCAATAGAATAATCTTCCTTCGTAGGACTAAGACACTTCTTTAACATTCAAGTACAATAAAGAATTGAAATAGCAGTTTTACATTGTTGACTCACATTAATCATGCACATATAAAATCTACCCATAATTCTAATAAAAGCGGTATGCAATTCTTCCAGCGAGATGAATATTGTAATACAAATGCAAACTAGGCCTCTACTTGCCAAACTCTAGTAACTCCCTCCTCACTTGACATTTTGGGTCGCAGAGTAGGTACCCAACTCAAACCATGTTAATTTTTCTTCTTCATCCATAAATGGATGTCAGGCAATTTTAACAATTTTTTTGTATACCTGCCCTTGACCACGCCCACCCGCGACATACAGAACTCTGCTCCCTTCGGCCAAGGGAGGATTAAGACGAAGGACAAGAGACAGCTAAGGCGAAGGACTAGAGAGGGGTCATAACATAAATAAACCTTAGTCTACCAAATAGTCTATCAAATCGTCTATTTGCCTCTTGATAACTTATTTGATTCCTAATCGGCAAATTGGATTGGATTTGATTAGCCTCAGATCCACCTGCAAAAACAAACAACCAGATCATCGTTACTAGCTCAAACCAATAATTCACCCTCCACAGGAGTCCTTCCTCATAAATACAAGCCAATAGGCAGAGACCCACAAACTGGACGGATCAATAAGTACAAAATTAAGAAAATGCGTTCCATAATAGCTATTGTATTCCACAGAATGCATAAAGCCACTCTTTTACTAAATTTGAAGGAAGTCGGAATGAATAACGCGAACAATATGAAGCTCACCTTATGACCAAAGAGATCACGAATGTTGTCAATACCATACATAATCATGGTTGGCCTGAATTATACAAGAACACACGAATTGTTACAATAAAAAAAGGTCAGGAGGTCAATAGTCAGAAGCAGAAGCCATTATTAGGACTTAAATAGAGCACTAAAATTAAATCCACTAAACGTGATTTAAGCACTCAACCTCAAAATATACCTAAAATTAGAGCTCATATCTGAAATGCCATAAGATCTGAAATAATGATTGAAAAAATTGGAGAGAAAGAACTCAGTAATTGTATCATTTCAATAATGAAATTCAACGCTCGTTTAGAAACAAGGGAGGATCCAGATGATCACAACAGCAACGTCAAGCCTAGCAGCGCTCAAAAAGTAGCCAGTAACCTCATAATAACGCAAATACTCGTACCTTTCCAAGGACAAACCCCACGCAATAACCGACACGTCCTCTGGAAGGCCCATTGGTTGCAACATTTCCGGTCGAAACATTCCTGAATTACCCACTTCCACCCACTTCTTCAGCCCTTCGTGATAGCTGCAGAGCAGATGAAGCAAATAATTAGAAGTCTTTATTTCATAAACCATTTGAAAAGGATAGAATGGCTCTGCGTACATCATTTTCAAGAGGCTGACATCTTTCTGGTCAAATATTCACACCTGAAAATCTCCATACTGGGTTCAGTGTATGGGTTATAGGCAGGCTTAAAACGAAGTTTCTTCACTCCTGCAAAGACCAGGGCGTAATCCCGATGATGTGAGAACATGAAAGACACCTAAAATAAAGTAGGCCTGACCTGACGTGGAGCTACGGAAAAGAAACTGCAACGAAATCTAGCATGAGAGCAAGCGGAGGGCATAATATTACACGAATGACAACAACTTAATGAAGAGAGAAACGTACCAAGGCGCGCAAAAAAATCATTTAAAACGCCAATAAGATCCCCAAGCGAGAGGCCTCTATCACATACAAGACCTGAAGAATGATAATAAAAAGCAGTTAGCGATTCCATTGCAGCGCACTATGGCACATGGGTTTGGTTCAAAAACTGCCTAAACACTAGGTACCAATAACTGACTCAAGACAACATACCGATATAATAGCACAAGTCTAAATATGAAATCCTCACATTAGGAACACACTGGAAACTAAAAGTAACAACTCAAGGAAGCTCAATGATATGTCTAGCAAACATCAGCAACGTATTCGCACTCTAAGATTTTCAAAACTTTCAACAAGTTTCTCCTATCTGCCCCGCCAGTAAAAAGAAAAATAGAAAAAAGCATAATATGCAGCACTGGATAACAATGACATTATCACAACGAAGCAGAAATAAGACCTTCGACTTGGTGAAACTCAGCGAGATGTGTACGATCCACAGCCTCGTTACGGAACACCCGATCAATTGAAAAGTACCTCTTTGGTGTGAAACCATCCTAAATGAGCCATCATATTTTAATCAGATTCATGTACCAGAAAAGAATAACAAGAAACAACACAAAGTTGTTCGAAACCAGCTCTGCAGAACTCAGAGCGCGGCTGCATGAAGCTCTGCATCAAGCTCCAATATGCGGGAACATGTTGAACAAAGCACGACAAACCTGTGCAAGTTTATAAAGCATACGGGATGAGACAGCCGTAGTATGTGTCCGCAACAAATTCTTTTCGGCTTCATCCCTCTTCCAGTCGTACCCATATCTGATTAAAAAATATCCACCAATGAGGTCCACTTTGACTTGATAACCTTCATGTCACATGAAACGTTCAACGTCATTTCTACCTACAAATATTAACTGCTTATTGATGTGAAAATTTAGGAGCAGAGTCCAAGACCTAAAAACTTAAAATTATGACGGAGCCTGGTAATTTTGCCCTAGCCCAAGAATCTATGTTGAGAAAGGACTTCTTTCGTAACACAAGCATCCGAAACTAAAATATCAGAGAACATCCAGAGGCAACAGGATTGCTTTTAATACCCGATGGACCCATAACCTCCTTCTTCGTGCGTTTTCTTAACTCGTTCCAAGTAATCCTCTGGTAACTCTATTGTCCGAGCTGGGGCTGCGGGGTACAATTACAGTCTAATTGAAACAAAGATAGGTTTCTACAACAGTAGTGAATCAAGGCAAATGATACAAGTGACACCACAGCTGTGGATCAGCAGAAACCATTCAAAAAGTCCTTGACGCAATGACATGATTGATCAAGTACCGCAGACAATAAAATATAGCCATTATCTTACTTGTTTGAGTTATGTAATAGAAAAGCTCGGCACCACTAGCAACCTAAAAGTCACGGGCAACTCACCCTTCAAGAAAAAGGTGTCATGAGAGTCACGGGCTGGATGCTGTTGAGGCTGGAACAGTGCATCGAAATTCCAGAAGCTACAATTCCCACGAACAAAACAATATGAGTACTAGAAAACGCTTAACTCAACAACATGTACCGAAGAGGGTGCAGTCTCAAACATGCGTATTAATTTCATGCAATCTAAGGGAAAGTTTCGAATAAATGCAAATAAGAAGAAAATAGGTGATTGATGCGTTCCAAGTACCTGCTTTCTACAAAATTGTTTGTTGGCATCTCTTCAAATCTGATCAGTGAAAGTTATACGAAATCAGCGTTGAGCACAGACAAAAAGCACAAGACTTCTGAAAAAGTTGCCTTGCTTCCAGCAATCACACACTTCCAACAGATACGATGATCACCCCACACCAAATTTTTAAATTGTATAATACCACCATGTTAAGTGCAGAAAATTGGCAGTATCCTAGCTACAAGAAGAACTCACCCCATCTCCAAGAAGATATTCCGGAACTGCGTTCTCACCTGTCAGGCAAATCCGCACATACAAAATCTTGTAAACGTACTCTCAGAATGCTATAAACAACTACTCTGAAACTGATCCAATGGAACACAACAGATAAATTACTTCCTAAGCAGTACATTTGCATTCCCAGGTAAGAGGCGGCTTTGACGCATCAGCTACAGTTCAGATTTATATATGTCTCAATGATGAAATGAAAAGGGCTGTGCTAGCTGAAGTTACCTTCAGCAAGGGGTGAAGATGACCACCTTCAGTGGGCTGGCCTAATGCATTAAAATTATAAGGTTTGAAGTCTCGTTTCAACCATTCCCCACTGTCATATCGACAGATCAGCCGTCACCACACAAAATTTTGAAAATTGCATCAGTTTTTCTTTCGTTAATTTGCATATGAATTAGCCTACACACTATCCTACTAATAAAACTCTCACCGGCGATTTGGTCAAAACCGAGTTCGCACGCTCGAAGGCTCACTTCGTCTAAGAGGGGTAGTCTAGGAGTACCTTTGTAGAAGATCACGCGTAAGATCTGTCTCCGGCTTCACTCTCTTCGGAGCATAGTTAGGTCCCTTAGACAATGAAAACCATGTCTCGTTCCTGTTGACACAAAAATCAATATTTCCTATAATCACCTAGAGAATGTTTTGCAGAAAATGTTTGTCACTGATCGATTACAAATTGAAAAGGATAAATCACGAAAAGTTCCACCAGCCTGCTAGAGTAAAGAACACTTAGACGGTTCTGTAATTTACGAAAGCCACTAATCCAAGCTAGTGATACTTGTAATATCCGCAAAAATTGACAGGCAGTATCCTAACAGGCCTGGAATAAATCTTCCAATACCTGCGCTCTATGAGCTGTCTCTTTTTCAGGTCGTTAATACTTGCATCCGGAATTTCCTGGATTAAGATTAAGAACAAGTTAGGGCTTCGGATAGTATAGCAGACCTTAATCATATCACAAGTGCAATTGAAATAGGGCATCGAATGCCTGACCACCCGCCATACGCACACATCACGATCATCTTAGTAAAAATGTTGGCATTCAGGTAAATACAAAGCCAGTTCTATGTTACCTTTCCTTCTTGGATGGCAGTCAGCAGGTTTCGGACCTCATCCTTCACCGATTCAACCTGTGCCACATTACCAACAGACCAAGAAAATGCTACGTCAACTGTACAATCTATTACTCCGTTTAGGAACTTGAGATAACACTTGATGACGCTCGTTGGCTCGTGGAGGAAGCAATGTACAGTGCCCACGTTCCAAAGTCTAGATCAAGCTTCACCTTTTTGATAATCAATGGTTTAGCTAACTGAATCCATTTGTTCTTCATCGCTGTCTTGAACCCCACGTCATAGACCAGTGCATCCAGCTTCCCCTTCAAATCCGCCGCAGAGATGCCCTCCGCAGGAACAGCCTCGAACACCTGGACCTCGGGAGAACCCCGCATTGTGTACATCTTGCCCTCGGCAGTGAGCACCCACCTTACCTTTTTCACGGTCTGCAAACCCAAATACCCGAATTCAGAATCGAAACAACAAAAAAACACCACCGGGAGACCATGAGACTCACGAAGGAAAAACCCACCTCAGCCTCCACATAGCCAAAGCCATGCAGAGATTTCACAACATCCTTCACGAGGTTGTGGTCAAATCCAGCAGACGAGGCCCATTCCTCCGAATTGCTAATAGTCAGTTTCTGCAAGTGACCTAGGAGGGCCTCCTCCACCGCGGTAGCGGCCATGACCCAGCTCCCTCCCTACTACCTGCAGCCGTGACAAACACAACCCACTTAGCTATCAAAGTTCCATCATCCCCAAATTTTACAAAATACACCCTTAGCAATCACTGACCTAAAATCAGCCACTCGACACCAGAATACAGAAAAGGGATACCAGAACCACCTCAAAACTCTCTCTCTCTCTCTCTCTCTCTCTCTTTCTCAATCACTCTAGCCCCTCAATACATTATATTTCACAAAAAAACCATCTCCTCTCGAGCTTCTCGCTTCAAAATCCTGCAGAGACGACTACGCATTGATAATACTCTAGAAGAAGCATACCTGCGAAGAAAGAACGGAACTACGAGTAGGGCCAACACGCGTGCGCAGACTGGAATAGATTGAGATAGAGGGCCAGTCGATGCAACTGCGGATTCAGGGTTCAGGGTTCATACGCGCGAGGCGGCTACCGTTACAGTCTTCCCACTTCGTACATACTCACTAGTATATATATACCCTAATCGTACTTTCATACATCCTACACTCATGTCGTATTCCTATTTAATTTTTATACAAATACATATATATTTTTGGGTATATAAACTTTAAAATATGTTTCTTTTTATGATGATCTTGCGGGTGATTAGTTTTAATGCTGAATTATTAACCCAAAAATGGAAAAATGCTAGTGTATAATCATACTTATGTTTGAGTTGTTAACTTAGCAGTATGATTTGTGTTAAATGAGAGTTTTTTTTAAAAGTGTGGAGTTAAGTTTTGAAGGGAATGTTGGATTTGCTTCGACTGGTTTGAGAGAGGCAAGGTTACCAATGACATTCGTGCGATTCTGTTAAGTATGGAGGAGCGTTCCTCGGGCTCTGTCCCGTGCTACAGGGCGGTAGCAGGGGCGGCCCTAGTGTTGCCACCTTCACGTCAAGGTTCTTCGTCTTTGTTGTTGTCCCTGAGGTTTTGAGTTTAGGGTTGCAGAGAATCGTGAAGCTATGGCGGGTGTCCTGGTCAGAAAGGCTAGGATGCGCTTCGCTTCTGGCGCTGCGCGAACCTGGGATGCCGCACTTCGGCAACAGAAGCCTCGTCTCCTTGCCGATCAGGCAGACTTGGAGGTTACAGGCTATTGTTATTTCTCTTCGTCTGGTGTGTCCAGTAGTCAAGGGTTTCTGAAGCGGATCATGCGTCCCCGATCGCAGGTTCGTTCACGCTGTATAATTTTTAATTGATTTTCGGATCGGTTGTTGGTGATGAAGTCTTGATCAGAGTCGCACCGTCACGAGCATACTCTGTTGCTGGCGTAGCTCTGGAATCATCTAGGTCACTTAATGTTGCAATGACATGCCTTGATGTTTTTGCGCCCTTCGGAAGCATTGGAAAGTACTTGAGGTTTCTTACTGTGGGAGAATTCGCCAGATTGTACCTCTTAATTATCGGACAGGGGGTGTGGACTCTATCCAACAAGTTGATGTAAATTTCATTGGTACGTTTCTTCCGGTACCTTCAGCCTTGGATTCTTATCGAGGTTTTTTTTGCAGGAGTATATGCACTTCTCAAGAATTTGAACCTTGTAGAGGATGTCTGGACGTCGAAGCCATCTTTATTTTCTGTGCAGTGCCCTGTAGATATCTCTTCCTCGCATGAAGTTTGAGGGTAGAGGATGAGAACGAGCTTGTTGTTTCCTGTGTGCTTTATTTGTGGTATTTTGAGTGTACAGTTAAATAATGGAGATCTTGCTCAACCTGTCAAGATTATCCTGAGCTGGTGTATTCTCAGCTTCGTCTGTTTATGGTTTCGGCCGTGGGGTTGTTGGTCTCAGGGTACAGGAATGTGTTGCTTAATAAAATGAGTAGGTTCAGCACTTGCACCACATCCCAGATGTTGCATCAACTCCCTAAGAAAGAGCACGTTGCGTCCCTTCTTCCATATTCCACCCGTGGGATTGCTTCCCAGTCCTCTCCACTTCTACGACAAGCTCAAAATGAGGTAAGAAGCAGCATTTTAAGCTTTCATGGTCTATTTTCTGGAGGTATTCATTCTAACCTATTTGATTAACCTGTGAATTGATGCATTCCTGGAATGCTTTCCCGCTTGATGTCGTCGAGATGCGTTCTTACCAGTGCCACGAATCTTGCAGAGTAAAGGCCTGTCAAAGCAACCGGAGGAAGACCCGTTCGATTCAATTACGGACAAGATACCCCAGAAGCCTGTGACCGCAGTTGAAGGTGCTTCCTACTCTGTGGTCATTTTGGCCGGATTAGCTGTGTTTGGATTTGCAGCTTATGCTGTTTTGAAGCAACTGATTTTCGAGCCCAAAGAGTATGTCTACCATTACCATATCTGTACTCTCAACGTTACTTCAACAGTCGTGATTGACTTGTTACGACATTGTTCTGCAATCACACGTTATACTAAGGCTAGTTATAGTTTCTTTCAAAACATCTAGTTTTTAAAATCTTTTTATACAGAAAAAGTGGGCAGGGATTCGGTAATGGACAATCTTAGTCCTATCATACAGCACTTGCAATCCTACTTAAGTGTGGAATTGAAATTTTTTAGTTTCAGATTATGGTTGGGTATGGTGTATGTTTCAGGAGTGACCCTGATATGGTATGATGTGGTGCAGGTACAAGATTTTTGGAATTTCTCTAGCACGAGTCCAAAATGATCATCAGGTATTGGATTCTTCATTATGTTCTGGCTTTTGTAGCTAATGTAGTGGAAGGTATTTATTTTTGTTTTAGGATTAGTTTGGTCCATAGTGTCAGCAGATATACTGATTTGGCGCACATTACTTCCCATGCTGCACTTTGTTAGATTTTTGTCTTTCAACCACAAGGAGGGCACAATAGTGACTACCATTTGACAGAGATGGCTGAATGCTAATTCGCTATTTTTAAGCTGTTATGGTCGTCTTCAAATGGTTAATCCACATGACTTTCCACATCACTCTCCGTAACCAGAACAGCGTAGCATACAGTTAATTCAGTGGCAACCTGTTGATTGACAAGTAAAGTACATTAAAGACATAATTTTCTAAGAGCATGCCTGGTTGGCGAGGGATTCCATGTTGACGTCGTGTTGTTAATGGGATGTGTTAAGGTGATGGTGCGGATAGGAAGCCCTATAACAGGTTATGGTCAAGAAAGTAGGAACAGAGCTGCCCGACAGCGAATATCGAACCGAATCCATGTTGACGAGGATGGGGTTGAGCACGTGGAGGTAATATTTTCAGACCTGTATAAACATTTAAAGCAATAGGACGTTTAGCAGATCTATTATGAAACATTTATGCCCGTATATCTACAAGGGGAGCTTGATTCTCAGTGTTAAAATGAACTTAGCATACATAATTTTTAAGTCACATTCGTTTAGTCAAAGTTGTTGAAAATGATTTTAGCACGCTTGCACATGATTTTAGAGCATTAAAGCTTGAAGCCTAGTTGAAAATCTGTGGGGATTTAGTGATTTTGCTAGAAAAGTCGAGGTACATTTGGGGATGAACTTTCGATATAGCCTTTTGGTTTATTAAGTATATATTCTTCGTGGTACATGTTCAAATCAAGGAAAGGCCTTGAAGGCCGGAGCTCTATATAGATTACAATAATCACAATGCCATCGTGTTATAAATTTATGATAAAGTGGATAACTCACTCTCGTAATACGACATGAAAAGAAAGATGGGAAATGAAATTGTTTGAAATTTCTCGACGGTCCTTCTTCATAGAAAGACACCCACTCAAGTGTATCGAAGCTTTCCATCGAGGTTGAGCTTGTTCAAAGTGGGTTCGTTCTGAACCAGTGGCCAGGGATCTAGTCTTCTTAATTTAATTTTTTGTTTCCACCTGTTTCAAACTAGACTTGTAGTATGAATTTTCTTTTTATGGAGCTCGATGCTTTACATGCTAACATTGGCCTGGCAGTAGCAGCACCGTCGAGAAATTTTTAAAGCATTAGTAATGTTTGCATATTTCGTGCTGTGATAGGTGATGTTTTACATTCGAGGACCCCAGGGAGCAGGGAAAGTGTATAGTAAAATGTTCAAAGACAAGGAAGATAAGCAGTGGAAGTATACTGATTTGATAGTAGAGATAACTTCGCCTACTCCAACCCGTCTTACATTAGAGTCTTACATGCCTGCAGTGCCATTGCCAATGCGAGCATCGTAAATTTTGTTGGCATCATATCAAAATCCAAGCAGTGAGATTTTCTGAAGAGGTTTAAGACGAGTTCTGCTGTTATCCTTTACTTCTCCAGGGTTGTGTACAAGCGTTGCACCATGTTACTTGCGTCTTTATTAGAAATGTATGGAGTAGCTTGAACGAAGTTAGATTTACGAAAGCTGTATTCCTTGTCGCTGCATGAAATGCGTAGCTTACAAACCTTCACTTCTGATTTTGCGTTTGTATATCGTATGCTGTTTACAACAGGACCACATCGCATTCGCTATGCCCTTAGGGAACATCGTGATTTCGAAGTCTATTGCTAATTGTGGAAGATGCCTAATCAGGCAGTTTAGTTTAAACAATTACTACGCTCAGCTGTAATTCTGTGCAGCGGTGTTCAGAATTACGGCTACAGTGACTAGGAGGAGTTCATTGAAATGCGAGTTCTCTTGAATATTGTAAATTTCTGAGCCTGATCAGAAAGCATGAATTTTCTCAATGTTACCGACTACAATCTCTGATCTGGTTAATATCATGTGCAGTGTTCGGAATTAGCTTCAATGATCCGAATGTTGGTAGGTGTAGACTGCTTATTTCTAATGAGATATTTTGGCTCAAAGGACCACGCTAGAAATCGCACACGAGGTAACTCCCTGCCTTTACAGTTGATCACTTGCCGATGATGGACTATAACATCATTATGTCTAACCCACCTTTCCCTATAGATAAAGCTTACCACCTCCCTTTTTTCATATTTTAAGAGCATATCTATTAGATAGAGAAAGTAATAATATATGTTTATAACTAAATTTTTGCCTCCTAGACATCTAAATAGGTTAAACATAAACTGTAGTCCATTCTAGTTCATTTCCGGTATAGATCTTGTTCCTTTCTGCATTAAAGGTAAAGCAGTGACATCCTCCAGAGCTTTATTTGAATTGAAAATAAATGCATTGACTTGATATAAATTTTTTTGCTGAACAGGTGGTAGTTTATTTTTACATTTAAATACTACAAAGTTTTAAATTTAGCCTACAAATATGGATGGGTACAAAATAAAAAAAACATTATTAGACCCTTTTATTCCTCATTTATCTACAAAGATAGAAATGAATAAAGTGATTATTCTAATTGTTGCTAGGTTGTTCTAGGGGGCGTTGATTGTGGTATTGGTCAGAGAATACCTTTTTCCGACGCTCTTCGTCTGGTTTCCTCGCATTCATACACTAGTTCTCTTTGTTTTTTTTTGATTTTCTGCCACTTCTCTCACTCATTTATCACTCGCAGATTGTTGCCGAAGCCAGGTTAATCACCTCTTGTTTGGACTATTAGATGGATGAGTTTTGAGTTGAATTTTGTTGGGTAGGAGCCTCTTGAAACCTGCTTTTTGCCAAGCCAATAGTTTTTGGATTTGGAGACTAGATGAGTTTTTGACAACAATTCAAGTGATAAGTGGTCCACTATTGTAGCAATTTGAAACACCCAACGTTGGAGAATGATATGTATATGCTTGACCATTAATTTGCTGCCAAAATTGATGGTGCTAAAGTCACATACCGTGTGATTTCAACAAGCCAAAAGTCATCAAAATTGGAGCAACGAATAGATCTGGACGGCTGATAGAGTGTAGCATGGTCATCCAGCTTGTAGCACAGTGCAAGATAATTAGCACAGTACTCGTTCTGCACAATTTTGCTAGGCAAAAATAGTTTATTATAGGATAGAAGAATATATACAATTAAATGGAATTGGTAAACAAAATTTGAGTTTGACTTGTAGATCATGAATGTATATATATTCATTCTTCAATAGTAACAAAATATGAGAAGGACAATAGAATAATAGTTGTAGATTTAGAAGTAAATATCAAAATTGAATTGATAAGTCTATTTTGAGGAGGAAAATATTTTCCAATGATAAGTTGGAAATTAAAAGAGTGTGATAATGAGTTATTATGATTAATAGTATTAGGTCTATCAAGTGTAAATATTATTGTCTAAATAAATAAGTGTAATACATGCAATTTATAAGTTTAAATTAGAAATTAAAAAAGATAGAAAGAATTTAGAAAAAAAGTGATTTTAATAAAAAGAAAAAGAAAAAGAAAAAAGAAGTCCTACTTATGATATCTTAATTGATAGAACTAAAAAGATAGAAAGGAATAATTTTAGTTAGTAGTTACATTGATTAAAATTTGCATCAAGAACTTATAGCATAGTTGGTTGATGTATATAGAGATACAGTTTGATTAGATGTCTTTTGGAATTTAAGTTGGTTTTTTTTATTCAATCAAAAGAAAGTGAGTGCATTTAAAGAATTTCAGGTCATGATGTTGCTTTCTCATTGTATATGTTTTTGAGCATATTTGTACCTTATTGAAAGATTTTTTTATTTAAGGATCTAAGTTTATAAGGTAAATTTCTTTATTAGTAGTTATTTAACATTTAGGATTAGTAAGTTCCACACTAAAGTTGTAGGTTAAAATCAAGTTATTAAAATATAATAAGAGGTTTTAGGATTATTTAGGATTGAAGGTTTAGTCTTATAATTATAGATTTGATGTGTAGCATAAAAAATTGTATGATTTATGGAGCAATGTAGATAAAAGACTATTTAATGAATGTTTATTAAATACAAAATAAATCTAATTTTCAAGTTTAAAAATTTGAGAGGGTGAAATTGGAAAAAAATTATCAGTTCTTTATGACATCTATTTTAGAATCAATCAAGAAATATATTATGATGCAAAGAAGTTGTCAATGCATATGAAGGCAAAGATTTTTAACAAACATGGAACAATCAAATGATTACTTGCAAGTCATTGGCAAAATATCAAAAACAAAAGGTATTGGTGGAGATATTCAAAGAGAATGTCAAGCCTATGTTGTAGCATTGAAGGTTTTAATAAAGGAAAAAATACTTGCTAAATAGAAACCAATGTGCAAATTTATGCAAGATCATTAAGTATGTTGCAAAGATTCTAGACTACCAAATAATTTGTGGCAATGATAGATTAGAATTTGGGCTTTTATTGAATGATTCATCTTTAATATTACATAAATCTTATTTTGTAGTAGAAAATTGTAGGAAACCAAATTGGTATAAAGAAGCTATTTTCCAATTGAATAACAAAGAAACTTTTAGAAGTCTACTTTTGGATTTAAAATATTGTTGTCGTATAATAAAAAATATGCTTTCAAATTATTATTCTAACAAATTTAAAGACATTGCACTTGCTACTTTTGATGTTGCAACATGTGATAAAGTAGAAGGTGATGAAAAATTTCTACATGATATGTTGATCAATACAAACAGAGAACAAGATTTTGAATATTATAGATTAGCAAAGCATCTACTATAAAGGTTGGAAGACTTGTATTGCATAGAAGGAAGAGATTTGGATGATTTGAGACTATATATTGTCAAAGTTAAATTTTTATATAATATGTAATATTTTTATATTTAATTATTTATCTATTAGATCATATTTCTTTCTAACTACCATTTTACTAATAATTGAATTTAGATTTTTTAAAATCATAAATCAACCTTTATTTTAAAGAAAATTTTATTTTTTATTTAGTAATTACTTTTTAATCTATTTATTTTAATTTTATATGCAAGAATTTTTTTGTATTTGTATTTGGTCAAATATTTAGTCAAATACAAATATTCCAAGTTTGCATTCCAAGTTTTCCAAATTAAAAAATTTCACAAAGAACCACTAGAAAGACAAAATAAAAGTAAAAAACAAAAAATAACCGCATGTATTGACTGCCACAACTAATTGTCGTGCCTAAATTTTTTTTGGCTTCGTAATAGATGAATGAGATCGCATGAACATGCATTGGATGAATGACATCTACTTTCCACAGTGGGAGCTAACGATGCGACACGTGGCGAAGTTCTGTTCCAATTGGCAGCCCCTCCGGGAATATCCCAAAAGCTTCTTCCCATTCTCTCGCTCCCTCGCGAAGTTTGCAGCTTGTGTGTCAGTCAATCAGGTCCCTCACTCACTCCCCCCCTTCTTCACCGCATTTCTGTCTCACCCTTTCCACGCTTGTCGTTACCCTTTTCGTCTTCCCACTCTAGGATTTGCCATTTAGTTGCCGCGCGTCTGTCGATCCGTGTCTGGGAACTTATCGTTAAGTGTGCGGGGACTTAGGAGAGTGAGTGAGCTTCAAGATTAGTGTTGAGTTCGGTAGGAGATTTGGGAGCGAGAGAGGAGACGGGATAGTGATGGTTGATTGAAAGGTCGGTTTGGTGTAATTGAATCCTGTTCGAATCTCGGAGCCGGGAGGCTTGGACGGTTTTTGACTCATGGGTGAGATTTGGTCGTTTTTATTCGACATTTCCTCGGTATTGTATCGTTGCGCAAGTCTTTGAACTAGAGTTTGACGTTTTGGGTGATTCGGGTTTATTTATTTATTTATTTATTTATTTTGAATTACCCGTTTCGTAGTTCTTTAGGTGTGGAGGCTTCAGTGTCCTGATTCCCACAGGAAGGCATTTGATGGTCGAATTGGCATATTATGTTTAAAATTGTTCAATTCACTCGTCTATCAGCCTAATTTGGGTTTACCAGGAACTGTGGGTGGTCTTCATTTTGGTATCATTTTGCGGTATCCTTAAGGCCAAGTGAGTGTAAGGTACTATTAACTGAAATTAGTCTTCAATAGTGCATTTATGGTTTAGTTAGGGAAGTCTACAATTTTGTCTGTTAAAACTACCATGGAGGAACTTCCTAGAAAGGCAGGCTTGGTGCCTGCCGGAGGGAGAAGCATCAAGCCTAGTCTCGTCTCAGATTCTTCTTTAAAAGTCTCTCGCATTGAAACGTCCCAAAGCCAACCTGCAAATGTTAACACAGAAGAGCATGAGAAGAGGGGGAAAGATGTCGTTGAGGTCGAAGAAGAGCGACCATGGCGGCAGCGGAGTAAGTCAAGATTGATTTCAAGGTCTGAGGTCCAAGATGAAGATTGTTTTCAGAAAAATTCCTTAGAGGATGACATGGGTTTTATTCCATCGCATCAAAAGAAAACAAGTTGGAAATTGGGGTGGATAATAGCTTCTGCAGTAGGAGTTTTCGGTAGCCTTGGGGGATGGTTGTATTCATCTCGTCCTCGAGATCCAGAATTCAAGGTAGAGCTTATTACACTTGATGGCTTCAACCTTCGTTTCTGCACAGATTCTCCGCTACTGCTTGCGGTTGTGGACATATCCCTCACTCTGCATGTCAACGCAACCAACCCAAATGTGTCGCCAATTGAGTTCTCCGACACAATCATGGACATCTACTACCATGACACTTTGCTCGGACAAGCCAAGGTGAGCATAAGCACCTTTTCTCTGTTCCACTTACGATGATGTCCACCCTAATAGAAAACCTTTTCATCCTTTTTTTGATTTAAGTTTGTTGCCCATTTTGTGCATTCACTGGATATTTTTTCAACTTAGCTGCATTGTGTATGTGGTCTGGATTCAAGATCTGAAACCGTTTCACTTGCAGGTTCCTGCTGGAAATCAAGCGGCTTTGTCAGATCAAACAATGGAGCTGACTTGTAAGCTGGATGGGCTTGAGTTGACAAGCCATGTGAAGGATTTATTTCATGACGTTGCCAAGCGGGAGATGGTTCTCCATTCTGTTGTCACTATTTCCGGGGAATCGATAATGTGGAAGTGGAGGCATCCGTTTCAGGTATGAAGTCATCTTATCAGAGTGTTGTTCAAGTAGCTGATGATTTAGTCGTCATCCTTTGATTTTTAGAATGCAAATCACTTTTTGAGGATCCTACGGCTAACAGTTTAGAGTTCCTGTATGCATTCGTTGCAGTGTGTATGCAATTGCTTTGAATAAGATTTATGAATTTGTCTTCATTTCTTAGTCGATAACTCTGTCATCCCTTTCTCCACTTGTTCACTCTTGTTTTTTGCTTTCTTTTCACAGGTGCATGTTGACAGCTACATTAAAGTGGATCCCATCTTCTTTGATGTCTTAGACCAAGAAAATAAGGCAAAGTTAGAAATGGCCCCAGATTGGCACATAAAAGGGGACAAAAAGTCTTCAGGATAGTAATGTGAGATTCTTTGTGTAAGTGAGATCCATTTCATTCTTCATTGTGTTTAGGGATTTTTATGTACATTTGAAACTTTCTTTTATTTATTTTTGTATTTTGAGGAGGGGACTTGGAATCTTAGTCCTTGTAAACCTAACATAGGGACAAATGAGCAATTTATGTGCACTCTAAGATGGAGCTGTATAAAAGTTATTGAGTTGAGCAAGATACCATCATTTCTGCTCAGATAATACTTATGCTATTTATACGTTATTCCTTTTGGTCTTATTCGATTTATTTTTGTGTATGCATGTTTCCTGTTATTTTGATCCATATAGATATTGCGCTGTTCTCCTAAGAGTGCTTTTTCACATTGAGCACGGCTTATAATTTTTTTGAATGACATGTGACCACCAGAATAAGCAGACTAAATAGTAAAATTTAAGCTAATACAAAGCCCTTCCACTCTAGCTATAACAATATGAAGTAAATTGCGTACATGTCTATGTCTTATCACATCTTCACAGGTAATCTCCAAGAGTGATTATGAATTATGGCTCAGTGTTGAAACATTGTAAGCACAGCTGGATAATTGTAATGGAAGGTAAGATTATAATCATGTCACGTGCATTTTAAATTTCTGTTTCAACACCCTCAGTTGCACCTTCTTTACAAAAATTTCACTCAGCATTGAGCTCCTTGCAGCTGAACTTGTGACCTGGCCTTGTGGCAGCAAGTTTATCAAATTTAATGGCTTGTTTAACCATGTATCCAATTGCCACCTGATATATTTTCAACTCTCATGTATACTTGAATACCAAAATGATATGTACAACTTCTTTGAGTTGAAATGAGGAAGAACTAAATGGGAAATCAAAACATTGTTCCTAACCTTGATTTGCAAACTTCAACTAGGGATGTCACTATTGGATATTAAAATTTCATATATTTGTCACATATTGGAAGGGGTCGAAAAGGAGATTTAGAAGGGGGAGAGGAGAGATGTGTGTATTAATAATATATTGATACAGCCAATGTAACGAAGAGAGACAGAATCAACAAAAAAATCAACAAAAAATCACACTTGAAAATCCGTGATGACAATGCCAAGGGCAAATGATTTATATTACTTCTATCCGATTGATGATATATTCTACGTTCGATCAACTGCTGTGTGAAATGAGCTCCATATATCTGTAATATTCAAAAACTCGTTTGTATATAAAATCTCAATTAATAGTAATAATACAATATACCTCTCTTGTATGATGAAACTCATGTAATGTTGTGAACCCTTGTTTAAACATGCTTTGAAATATGGAAGGCACATATAATACATGGGCAAATAGAATACCACCTCATGTGGTAGAAGTAAAAATCCTTATTTTTCTACAACAGCTGTGAACAGAACAAAGTCACAGTTTGTTAGTTATTAATTATCTCAAAATGTCCTTTCTCTCATTCATAATGGATAACACTACTCTACCTCTCATGGTAAATAAATTTGTTGAGGTCCTACTATCATTTGTACACACATGCAAAAAATTCACTACTGAACAACAGTAATGTGAATATTATGTAGATGCAATAAGTACATATGTCACTATAATCAGATTAGAATAAATAAGGATATTTAAATTTTGCAACTAATTGTATCAAATCTATGTTTTCGATTCTTACGTTGTACTATAATTCTCAGAGATTAAGTTGGTACTCTATATTCGTACAATTATTTGTCTGTTGATTCAATTTTATTGTACAAAATGAAGTAAACTTGGTGCTGTTCAGAAGCTAATTCAAGAATCATGATCGTCTTTTGCATTTTGAAAGTGTATAAAAATGGGTTGATTTTATTCATTTTTTAACTTCTTCATTTTATTTTATTTTTGATGATTTTGTCAAACACCTATATTCATCGTGCAATTTAATGTTCTGAATATATATATTCTGTTTATTTTTTAAATTAATTGAATTCCTACTACGAAAAGTTAATAGTTGAATATTTTATGTTCAATGGTAAGCTTTGATGTCTAAAAGACCACACTTTTTGTGAGAGTGTTTCATGTATACAATGTGTTAAGCTATGAGAATACTCATTTTTAAAGACAATTCTCCCAGTTAATGACAATTGTAACCAAAAATTTGCGACAAAGTTGTTGTTTCCAAATCACATCCTCTGTTCTATTCATTGAAGGCATTACAATTTACCCACTTGAAGAATTCAATGTACAGTCAGTATTAATTCCCCACAACATCACGTTTTCATTGCAGGCAACCCCACAAATTAAAAAATCTTGTTAGCAAATTTCTAGAACTTCTTGCACCAACAACCCATCAATGTGGACTACACCAAATATTTATCAAAAATAAGGTATACTTTCCCTATCCTTACCTGAATTGCTTTTGAATTATCCGGTCTTTTAAAAGAAGATGCCCAACACCATCCTGAGATACTAGAAACTCCCACAATCGTTTCTAAATTTAAGCCCCTGATAAGACAAAAATCCACAAAAACTCCTAGAAAAATCTGGGCCCGCCTCGGTTGGGGCTACGGCGTAAATATCGAGGTCTGGAAATCTACGCTTTGGTTTGTTTGTTTGTTTTGTTTGTTGTAGGTGAGCTTTCCTGCTGCATAGGCTTTCATCTCGCTCCAGGCAGTTGGCGATGGAGCCCCAGCGACGTTGCTGTTGTTGGTCCTTATGATTATTTTTTTTCAAAAAGAAGTTTGGTTGAGTTTTCAGCTTGCATGGATCATCATCAGCAGCTACTGATACTGTTCTTGCTGTTGTCATGATTCTTGTGACCATCTCACGATGCCGGACGCTGTCATTTAACTGAGAGAGTTTTGGGTGTTTCCGTTTCCTTTGGAACAGTTTACATGAAAATTTTGCTGAGGGAAGTTGTGGGTGACAATCGTGTGGAGGCGGGGCAAGAGTTTGCGGTCATTGCTGAAGATTCTTTCTCTGGAGCTGCTGTGTGCGGGCTGTTTTTTGAGTTTTTGAATTCTATTTTCTTTATTTTGTTTGTTCTTTTGTTTTTTCTGCGGTGGTACTGGGCAATTGGCTGGTTGGTATGAAAGTGTGGACGAAGGAGAGGGCGTTGAGTTTAAGGTGCGTCCATTAGCCTTCCTGCGGTGAGAAGTGAATGCTTGCATGAGGATTTTGAATTTTGGGCCCTCTTTGGAAATTTGAGTAGTTGGCGCTTGAGTAAGAAATTTGAATTTTTTTCGGCTTTGGGAGTTTCTGTACGAGTTGGTGGAATTTGTGTAGGCAGTGGAGTTGCGGTGATCGATGTAGTGAGCATCGATGAGATGAATGTTTCGGATTGTCTCAAAATTTGCTTCTGGCGGTGGAAGTACTGAAATTACTTGGTGATGCCCTATGCTGGTGATTGTAAGAACGGAGAAGCTCTTTGATTGGTTATCGAGGTAGAGGTGGCTCTGTTGAGGATTTTTTTAAGTTGTGCAACATATGATTGTTTCTGTGTGAGGGTGAAACTGGTGCCCATAAGCAACTTCTTTAGTGTTAACTTGGTTTTGTAGGACACGAAGGACAGTGTTTTTACAAGCAGATATGAAGCGGAAAGCGACCGCGAGTCCACGATGGAGGTGGAAGTTTGGGGGGTTCCTCTTGATGGGGACTCTCTTGACTTTATTCATGTTGGTTCACCTCCAAACATTGTTCGGACCCGATGCATCTGACGGTGCTAACACGGTTCCAGTTGTAACCAGTTTTGAAGGTCAGCAGTTCAGCCTGAACAGGACGAAATCGAAGCTAGCGTTCATGTTTCTTACAGGTCACAACATGGCTCTGGACATCTTGTGGAATCAATTTTTTGAGGTAAGCAGTAACGCACCTACTAATTTGTTTTTTGGTATAGAAGTGAATGTCTATTGCGAGGACTCTGACCCTCATAGTATAGAATGGTTCTTCATGACGATAAAGTCTAGGCTTATTGACTGCCCATTTATTGTTCTTAATTACCACACACATTCTCCCAGTTGTGAAGAATTTATTAGTTTAAGTTGATGTCATCCAAAAGGGAAGATGGATCGCAATAGAAAATAAATATTTTGAGTTACAGGAAGTCGAAGAACATGAATATAGTGTTTACATTCATGCAAGGCCTGGCTACTCGTTCTCAAAAGGGAATACAATCTGCCGCTCGTTCATCAATCGTCAGCTGAATAACTCTATACTAGTAAGTTGTCTTGTTGGAAGCTTCCAAAGCAATGTGAAATGTGTATTCAGCGATGTAGGATGATCATTGAGAACCTTTTATTTTGTGGAATTTCAGGATTCGGCTGAGTTGATGGTCGACTGATGGTATGGAAATCATAATTAGCTTATCACTTTGTGTTCTGTAGGTAGAGTGGGGAGAGGCGACCATGATTCGAGCTGAACGACTGCTATTAACTGAAGCACTTCAAGACCCCTTGAACCAGAGGTTCTTCCTTCTTTCTGATAGGTATTTCAGTGATCCTATCTTTGAATTTTGATGTTATTTTTATTTTTTGAAAGATGATTATAGGCGTCTTCTTGCTTTGTGCTGAAATCTTTTGCCCTCAACTGCTGGTGCAACTCATTTATTTGCCACAGAAACAAGTTTTCAATTTTAGAAATAAAAGTTACATCTTGGAAAACCAATTGCTGGTAATGAGCATCTTCAACGAATTACCGTCATGTGCTGTTATGGTGATCCTCATACAATCTTTTGCAATGAGCTTGCTTGTCTTGCAGTTGCATCCCGCTCTATAATTTCACACACATCTACAATTATGTGATGTCCTCTCAGAAGAGCTTCGTTGACAGGTCCGAACACTAAGCCTTCACTCTAGTGCTATTTCTGACTGATTACCTCACACTATCAGGGCAGGATAGTGTACTTTCACAAGTGTGGTATTTTCCAGACACTCTGTTGTATTGAGGGCGTCAAACTTTCATTCATGCGGACGATTAGTATCGAATTTAAGTTTCTTGCTCGCTTTCATCTTTCAGGTCCACCGTTGACGGCAGTTCAGCATAAACGTAACGTGTAATATGTGCAATGAATTAGTAGACATTCTGATGATTTTTTTGGGATCAGTTTTGTTGACAAGAACGATGATCAGTATAATATCCTTATGGAGCCCGTTATTTCTGAAGATAAATGGCGCAAAGGATCTCAGGTATTGCCAAAGTACTACGTGCTTTGATATAACCTTAATAAAGCGCCTGTTTTGTTTTAAATTGGAAACAATATTTGTAGGCGGGATCTGACATGTTTAGGTTGTTAGATTTGTTTTGAAGACGGATCGCAATATATTCTCTAAGTCATCACGGTAGCCAACGATATGTGGATGCCTGGCTGTTGTTTACAGTGGGTTGCCCTTACAAGGAAGCATGCTGAGGTCATTGCAGGAGATTCAACGGTTTTCCCCAGTTTTGTCGATCACTGCAAGGTTAGGTCCATCTTCCTCTTGGCTTGTAGTAAATATGTGTCACATTATATAGGAACTGCATACCTGAACCTCCGATATGGACCTAACAACAGGATAAGAGCTTTAGGATGTAGCCTCTGAGAGCGTGTGATGTTCCCCAAAGAACTATTACCATAGTAAATTTAAGTATTGGATTGAAAAATACCCTTCATCAGAATTTATGGTCCCTTATGTAAAGCAAGTAGAATTATGCCAACTCCACGTGATTTAGAGGTTCAAACCGTGATGTTGTTGCCCCTGACGATGCTTAAGGAAGATGCTGATGAGGCATGGAGTGAATGCTGATTTGTTTTTGCAGAAGATAAATCTGTCAGATAATTGGAAGGGTGATCCTATGGTATGGCTATGGTTCCCCGATTACCCACATTTCGTTATTTTTTCACACCTTGATGCCACTTCAACTTTTTGTACACAATTGAACAGAGGAAGGAATGAGCTTGCATTGATGTGACAGTTTCTGCTTGTAAAATGCACCGCAGACAGTTTAGGCATCCTCTTGATTGAAGTTCCTTTGTTTGTCTGCAGAATAATGAAACCATTGGTCGTCATAACTGTATACCAGATGAGCATTACATTCAGACACTGTTGGCGGTAGACCCCATCTATGCCTTACGACATTGCCTTCGGCGCACTCATCCTTAACCTTTTACCCAGAAAATGTTTTCGTATCCAGAGACTCTGATAGCTGAAACTGGAATTGTATTTTTGTGCTTATCTGAAAATGGATGTATATTTATTTGTGCAGATCAAGGGTTTGGAAGGAGAGATTGAGCGTCGAACTTTAACATTCAGTCGGTGGGAGAACTCTGCAAAAGACCAAGGTCAAAATGGCTGGCATCCTGTAACGTTCAAATTTGCCGATGCAACCGTTCAGACCATCAAAGAAATTCAGGTAATTTGTCCCCTCGCTGCACTAGTATCCCTGCTACCGATCCATTGTGGTTCAACTAATGTATTTTTTTCTTTAAAATTTTACTAATGATCAATTGCTTATGATGTTCTGAACTGTAGGCAATCACAAATGTTCGTTACGAAATTGAGTCACGAACTGAGTGGTGCAGCGCTGGGGGGCATCGTCGGCACTGTTTTTTATTCGCCAGGAAGTTCACACGGGCAGCTGCGTTCCGGCTTATTGACCAAGTTGATCAATACAAATCCAGCGACCCTGACCTTGCGGAATAGCTGGTGGTTTGAAGTTCACTTTCACTCGGAGCTGGGTAAAAGTATCCCAGCCGTGAATGCAAAAGGGCTACAGCACTGCGCGGTTTGCAAAGCATTTTGTGTTGGCAGAAGATGCTTGAGCGTCTTGCCACCAGTTTCTCAACTTCCAATTTTGATTCCTTAGTGCCCAAATCATTGTTTGGTTAAACCACATCAATCGAAGAGTTTTGGACTCACAGCAGCTATCTGAGCTGAACCACTGTAGCTAGACAATTTTGACTAGTTTTGAAAGGGCGTAAACAGGTAATTTGCCGGTAAAGTGTAGCTGCCACTTTCTCCACATTTCACTTAACTTCACTTCATGAGCCAAAGAGCACAACTTAGCTCAGTGGACACGTACAACCGTTGCTACTGCTTTCGTCAAAGCGGCTTGGTAGTTTGGAAGTATACTTCTCAGGGGGTTGTAGAAGTGAGACTTGCTGAAGTTTCTTGAGTAAATTTACTTGTTTACGTGCCAGTCTTGTGGAACACTGTTAGTCGTTTCGCTTGTGTTTCTAGCACAGCTGTTGTACTGCTGTGCCTTTCGTGACTAGCTCCTCAAAATTCCCAACTGTTAAGAAATGTGAAGTGAAAATGTTGATGAAAAATAGTAATGTTACAGCAAGGTTTGCATACGCACTTGGAAGAAGAGGAATACTTGATTGAAAAATGTCTAAGCTTTAAAAACATTTTAAATAGCAAAGGCAAATGAGTTTCACTTAGTTTTGATGAAAGTAGAGGTAATGACACCATATTTTTTTACTGTATTACGAATAAAATACTTAAAAGGTATAATGATGCTAAAAACATGTAATTCAAAGTTCAAACTAACATGAAACAAAATCATGATAATAAAACATATTAAATATATTTGTATTAAATTGTTGAAGCCAAATAAAGTTATTATTTTACAATTTAAGAAATAATAATATATTTTGAAAATCATATATATATTCTTCAATCAAAATTTTCCAACAAATCTTTTTTTAAAAAAAAAAAAAAAATCTCTTGAACACTACCGATAGGTCTATAAACACTTTTTTTTTTTTTTTTTTTTTTTTTTTTTTTAAAATAAACAAGAAGTAAGATATTCTTGTATTTAAATTATTCTTAGTTTTTTTAAATTACTGAATGATAACTTTAAATTTAATTAAATGAAGTAGATATATTTAATGCATATAAAATAAAGTAGATATATTTAAATAATATTTATTCTATGAAAAAAATTAAAACAATATTTATTTATTTATTTCTAGATGTTTTAATTATCTATTAAAAAATTAGTCATAATTTTTGTTTTTAAAAATACAAGATTAATAGCGGAATTCCTTGTAATACTTGTGATAAAAACAAAAGACACATAAAGTGAGTACATTTTTGTCAAATTAATAATGAAGTGATAGAAAAATATTTTTTGCTGATTCACAAGACTTACGTAATGTAGTTTAGTGGAACCTATCTAAAACCATATGGGTGGGACCATGGATCTTGTGTGATTTTAAGGAGGTTATGATATTAGACAGGGTCAACACAAATTATGTAAGGGTTAAAGTAATACATACTTGGTGCTACGACATTTATTTCTTTCTATCTAAGGTGCAATGCTCAGCAAAATTTGTGCTATCACGGTAGTGGACTCAATGTTTTCAATGTACTGATTATATTAAATAATAAGAACAATATGGTTTATGCAATTCATGTGCAATATAAACAATTGGTCCAACATCCGAAGTGTTTCTTGATCATTAAACATTTTCCATGGCCATTTTCAGATCCAGTGTTCTCCAAAGTGAAGGCACAATGATTTACACAATGCAACTGATGCAAACTTCGTTTGAGTTGCTAAGAAGATACCCGTAGAATACATACAGCAATGATCGAGCCCTATTTGCAAAGCTTCGTGATGTGAAAGCCAATTGGGTTGTAGCTCCTTCCTTCGTACTAATTTCAGCAACACTTGGCATTACACACAACAACACCGCTATCTCAGATTCTGCAAGTAGAAACTATTGTGGAATCTTGTGACAACCAAACTGGACAAGTGAAGACTTGAAGAAACCGTTGCAGAAACCGTTTGTCTCTGATAAACTTTCATTCCACTGCTTCAGGGATTTTCTTTGTTAGCACCTTCTGGTCGGCGATCTATTCCAGAGGGTTGGTCTTGCGAGCTTTTTACTGGCCAGTGAAGGATTTCTCCTAATACAATCGCACCTGAAAATGAAAACCAAATAACTATTTAGAAAATGAGGCAAGACATCTTAACAAATAGCCACAATCCCAGTTTTGGCACCCTGCAACTTGAGTATGCAAATATGATTTGGTTAGCTACGTCAGCCTTACCCCAACTGTTTTGATGAGAACAATGTTGCCAATAATTCCCATCGCTACGAGTCCAAACACCCAGTCTATAAGCTTTGCATATGGATTCACCTGCAAACGGTCAAACAAGATCCAGAGATTTCCAAAGTTTAGTCTTCAGCAAAAAGACATAAAGAAATAAAGTAGAAACAGAATTCGGCAATTTCACACATTCGAATTACATTAATTTTTCTTATCGGTTTAAGGATTCTGTTTAATTCATCGTGTGGGGGAGGAAAGCAAAGGACCTTTTGACGATACAGAGTGAAAAGGGCATATGAGACCACTGGAAAGGCCAAAACTGAGGGCGCAACCCATCCTGGTGCAGTTTTTGACGCAGCTTCAGTGATGGCTGCAGAAACCGATTCTTCAGCAGCCAAGGCATTCTTGACTTGGCTTCCAAACCACCCTGCCGTTCCTAGTCCTAATGCCCACAATGAGGGGGACATTTCATGAGCCCTGCCTGAACGGTTTGCTTGCGCCACCGAATCATCTCTATTGTCCTTTTGTAACAAGGTCAAATACGAATCACTTGGTGACTGCACTTTCAGTGCTTCATCGTGCATAATAAGTTTGGCATTCTTGTCCATGTTATCTCGAGCGGTTTCCCACGAATTCCATAGTTTCTGTTCAAAGTCAGCTCGTTCTGGGTTTATGGCACACTGACGTAGTTCTAAAACCTCGCTTTCCCAATCAAAGCTGCTGTCCACTCCTTTCGCTAGCTCCTCTGCCGCCTACATCATAGGGAGACCAAAAATTTAGAAGACAAGATTCCCATCCAGTTACTCGTAATATTGCATGAGGAAGCTGGGCATCAGTAAGGTAAGTTATTGGAACATGCACCACATTCCAATTTACCTGCAAAGCAGCTTGCCAATGCAACTCCTCCACCCGAATGCTAACACCGAGTTCATCCTCCGCAATATTTTGGACACTCTGCAAGGGAGACGATTGCAGGATGCTCTGGTACATGCTATCATGCAACCAGTTACGCATATCTTCCCCTAATTGCTCCAAAGCCACCTCCCTCTCGTTCCGCTTTCTAAACGCCCCAAGAGCCTCTTCCCGAAGCTTAGCAGCATATTGCTGCCAGTCCAAGTCGGCGGAAAGCGCCAGCAACGCAGACGCTTCAGCCACTGACGCCTCTACATCAAAATTTATCGACGGCTCTGGTAATCCGTTGAAAACTGTAGCAGATACCTGCCGAACGTTTCTTTCCCTGTGACTATGGTGGCGAGATGTGAATCTTTGTTGACGTGGCAAAGCTATCAGGCCGCCCTTTCGAAAGAAAACACTCTTCGAGTTTTTGATCGTGCTTGGATTCTCCACCTTAGTGATTGCATGAATCAAACGGTGACATGAAAGTGCATGATTGACAACTTTCGCACTGCTCATTTTGCACAATATTTAATCCTGCAGACAGAAATTATGGCACTATCAGATCTCCAGAAAGACTGTTAATAGCACAAACCTGAACTCGAATGAGGCACCATAGCATTGAATGCAAACATATGAGCCTCAAACTTGGACACAACTGGCTTTGTACATGGACAAAAAACATCCAACTGAATCGGTCATTAGAACAATTTCGAACACGGATCTGTAGTTAATTAAATGATATAGCAATTTCCAAAACCCACATAATGAAAACGAATGTGGCACCTTAGCAATCCGAAAATACTTCTGACGTCAGTCTTCTCATTAAGGACTTGAAGTGCAACGTTTCAAAAACTCTCAACCATTGTCCCTCTCATCGCCGCACGCCCACGCAGATGAACGAGAAACTATTTCACTCTGGATGATGTTTTTCAAGCAAATAATCTGTTTATACTTGTTTTCATGAATAGAACATTCTTCTAAACGATCGACTACAAATTTTTCAAACTGAAATTTCCACCTCCCAGTCTCGCTGGCGTCTCCAAATTCCCAAAAAGGCACAACCTATCCTCACTGAAGGACGTCTCACGAATCTTGCTTCTGCAACTACAATCTCCCCAGCAAAGGACGTCTCTCATCTCAAAAACTCGTCCAAAATCGGCAATACAAGAAAAGACCACCAATACAAGAGCAATATCACAGAGAATAGAGGCCTCGAGGCAGCACCTTCAACAGAACCTTGAAATATCTCAGCAAAAAATAAAAAATAAAAAGCCACCGCCAAGCTAGCGAACGTCGACTCCACTGCACACCGTTCCGCGAGAATGCAAGGCTCCACTGCCTCTGGTTATCTCACCTTCCTATCGCATGCGATGAACTCCACCACTGTGCCGAGTAAACTCTCCCTGCCAGCTCCTTTCAAGCTTCGTCGCAGCACAAAGTGAATTTCTGCATCCCCCGGCAAGTAGAATGCAATTTGCGCTGTAAGGATAAAGCCCTCCCTACGCAATCTAATCGACGAATTCGGCACAAGAGCAAGCCAATGGTGGCGAGTAGTAGGATGATCGGTGTCCGAATTTCAACGCGATGGGAGAGCAGAGAGGGCGGCATTTGTGAGGATTAGTGTGCACTGATGACAAAGCCACTTTCGCCCCCTCCCCCCCCTGCAAGTAGGCTTATCCCCTTTCACACGGCCATGGGGTCCACCGGCACGGCGGACCAGAATCCTCGTCACACTCAACCCCTCAAATCTGCGACTGAAATCCGCTTGGCATGCTGAGTTGGAAAGGTGTGTCCTAAATCCGTGCGAATCGGATATTTTCTTTTGCTTTTTTTGTTTGCTTTGTGTGCTTGCCAAACATGAACTCTGTAAGCTTCCAACAACAAAAACGTTTTTTTAGGGGAATGTTAAATATACTCAAGTTTTTATTAAATCGACCCAATCATCTTAACCATTATGAAAAAATAAAATGATCTCTAGATTTATTTCCCCACTATTGCATCTACAACCAAAAAAAACCAATCACATTCATCATGATTACCATATTCTTCATTAAGGATGAATTTATTTAATGAAAGCATTTCTATTTAACATTTATTTTATTTTTAATTTATTTTATTATTTTTAAATTTTTAAATCACTCTATGTCAAATATAACATTAACAACTTAAAAAGTACTTAGATTCAATCCTCAATAAATTATTCTTAACTAGTCTCTAGAATCCAATCAATTAAAAAATAGCAATCTTTGAGTAGAACAATTTGGTATTTTTTTATTAGAATTAATGTTATTATTATCATTTATATATATATATATATATATATATATATATAGTTTGATTAAAATCTATGATTCTAATATATCAATTTACATATTTTTTAAATACTTAGGATTTAGATTTTAAGTTAATATATGAATACAAAAAAATATAAAATTAGAAAAAAATCCACTTTATATTAAATTATATGTAAAATAATTATATTTTGATTTTAAAATAATATAAGATATATATTTATTCTTTCATGACTAAAGAAGATATGCTATTAAAGAATAATTATATTTTTATGTATTAACTTCTATTCTTTAATAATTTAGGACATAATACTTTTTGCATTATTGTTAGAGACATAGTCCTTAAACCTTTTAGAGACAAGTTTCTAGAACCTTCTAGAGACAAGCTTCTAGAACCTTCTAGAAGCAAGTCTCTGGAACCTTCTAGAAGCTTCTTAGTTGGTAGAAGATGTTAGGGACATAGTCCTTAGAACCTTCTAGAGATAAGTTTCTAGAACCTTCTAGAAGCAAGCCTCTGGAACCTTCTAGAAGCTTCCTAGTTGGTAGAAGTTGCTTGAGAAGCTTCCTAAATAGGAGTATATATTGGGATCGAGGCTGAAGAGTTCTTCAGTCTCGACAACACATCTCTTGGAGCTCTAGCTCACCTCTCTGGTGTTGTTCTTGTATTCATCTGATTAATCTAGTTCTTGCCAGTTCTTCTTGAACTTCTTGGTAGATATCAAGTCTGTATTCTGTGTCCGTGGCAGTTTGTCAAGACTTCACTCACCTCAGATATCAGAGCTAGTTTCTTCTTTGTTAGAGTGTGGATTACCCCTCTGCTTGGAAGTGTACTAGCACTTTAGAGGTTGCGGATTACCCTCCTCTAAACTGATACTTCTTTTGTTACAATATTGGAGACTTATTCTTCTTGGAGAGAGTGGATTACCTCTTTTCTTGAAGCTCTTAAGGCATTTTAGAGGTTGCGGAGTACCCTCCTTTAAACCAATATTGTCTTCTTGTAGAGTCATTTTTGTCCTTCTCTTAGAATGGTCGGGGGCCAAGACATTAGTATGACGAAAAGTTCAGAGTCTAAGTTAGATGCTATCATGAATGCCCTAGCTACGTTATCGCAAAGAACTGCAGAGATTGAGGGAGTCGTGGCAAGGCTTCATAATGATGGAGCATCTGGGATGGCACAATCTAGGTTGCACCTGCCTCAAACTTCTACACTTGGAGAAGCAACTTTGCCTCATGTTCGACAAGCACCGCTGGTTCTACAACATAAGGAACCCCGAGTTAGCCTTCCGGACAAGTTCGATGGTACACGTTCCAAGTTTCGAGGATTCGTCAACCAAATCACGTTGATAACAGTTTTACAGCCCGAACACTATCCAATGGAGGAGTCACGTGTTGGGCTTGTTGGAACCTTACTTACAGGATAAGCTCTATCATGGTTTGCTCCTTTGTTTGAGAAACGATCGTCCATACTAAACAACTTTGAAACCTTTTTAGAGGCATTTGCGGAAGCATTTGGTGAACACGACAAGGTTCGATGGGCTACAACAAAGATCCGGTCACTACGACAAGGGATACGTTCTACATCAGTCTATGCATCGGACTTCAGGCAATTAGCATGCGACATCAATTGGGACGAAGAAGCGTTGATGAGTCAATTCTATTGGGGTTTAAGGGACGATATGAAGGATTTGCTGTTAACTCTTCCTGATCCGCAAATGCTCAACGAAGCTATTAGCCAAGTTGTGAAGTGCGATAACCGCCTATTTCAACGTAGCCAAGACCAACGTTCAAGACAACATACGGTTTGCCACACCCCAACTATATTGGCAAGCAGCGTGAATTCACATTCAGAGGTAGAAGACATGCAAATTGATGCGGTACGTGTCAAATCTCTTACTCTAGAAGAAAAAAAGCAGCGTATGGAGGAAGGTCTATGCTTGTATTGCAGTGAAGAAGGCCACAAAGTTGGAAACTACCTCAAAAAGCAAAATTGACGTATTATCAAGACTAGGGGCACGTTTATTCAGGAAAACGAGGATGCCCAGCCACAATAGGAACCGTGCGGCTGGACAGTGAAATATCGCATTAACAACCAAGTTCCTGTCTTTCCGCTCAACCTGCCCTTTGTTTTATAATCCCTTTGCTTATTGGCCCTCAGAAACTGAGAACCTTAGCATTATTAGATTCAGGAGCATCTGCTTGTTTTTTAGATGAAGAATTTGAAAAGCGTCATAAGATCTCTTTAGTACAAAAATCCAAACCTGTTTACGTTGAGGTCATAGATGGACGACCTTTATTGTCTGGTAGTATCATCCATGAATCAGAACCTATAGAAGTGATGTTTAAGGACCATAGTAGTCATATTATTTTCAATATTATTAGAACCCCATCAAATCCTGTTATTCTTGGTCTTTCCTGGTTGGAAAAGCATAACCCATCCATAGATTGGAAGTTGCGGAAGATGACCTTTCCCACAAAACCACCCAAGAGCAAGTCAAGTAGAAAACCCCGAATAGAGAAATCCTTATTTATTGGAGCAAGAGCATTTATAAGATTGTCCAAGGGAGGCACACCGTTTGTCATTTATGCGGCTCCAACTACCGGGGAGAAGATCTCGACAGCAAGTATATCAGAGCAATATAAGGATTTTAAAGACGTGTTTCAAAAGAAAAATGCCAACATGCTACCGGAACACAGACCATAAGATTGTGCCATAGACTTACAGGAAGGAGCACAAGCGCCTTTTGCCCAATCTACAATCTATTGCAGATGGAGTTGGCGGAGTTACGGAAGTACATCGACGAGAATCTAGCCAAGAACTTCATCCGCCATTCAAAATCGTCAGCTGGAGCACCCATCTTATTTGTGAAGAAGAAAGATGGCTCGTTGCGGATGTGCGTGGACTATCGAGGCCTCAACAAGGTAACAAAGAAGAATCGTTACCCGTTACCCTTGATTTCTGGTCTCTTAGAACAACTTGGACGTGCAAGGATCTTTACAAAAATTGATCTAAGGGGAGCTTACAACCTCGTACGAATCAAGGAAGGAGATGAGTGGAAGACAGCGTTCCGTACAAGGTATGGCCATTTTGAATATAATGTTATGCCCTTTGGTCTTACCAATGCTCCAGCGGTCTTTCAACATATGATGAATGACATTTTCCGAGAGTACCTTGACGATTTTGTTGTCATCTATTTGGATGATATTTTGATATTCTCCAGAAATGAGGAAGTGTATGAAAAACACGTTCGTTTGGTATTGGAGAAACTACGCGAGCGAGGACTATATGCCAAGTTGGAGAAGTGTTTATTTCACCAAATAAAGATGGAGTTTCTGGGGTTCGTTGCGACTACGGAAGGCTTGAAGATGGACCCCAAGAAGGTGGAAGCAATCGTGTCCTCAGAGGTTCCGAAGACGGTTAGAGATGTACAATGCTTTCTTGGTTTTGCCAACTTCTATCGGATCTTTATCAAGAATTACTCTCAAGTTGCTGCTCCTCTCACTCGGTTGACATGCAAGGATAAGCTTGAATGGGGACCTCTAGCAGAGAAGGCGTTTCAAAACCTGAAGACCGCATTTACTACGGCTCCAATCTTGATACATCCAGACTTTACAAAGGCCTTCTATTTAGTAACTGATGCTTCGGATTTTGCTTTGGGAGCTGTACTTTCACAAATGGGAGAAGATAAGAAGCTCCATCCGATTGAATTCTATTCTCGAAAGTTCTTTGCTGTTGAAATCAATTATGAGATCCACGATAAGGAACTTCTTGCTATAGTGGATTCTTTCCAAGAGTGGCGTCACTTTCTTGAAGGACCTGCACATCCAGTGACCGTATACACAGATCACAAGAATTTGGAGTATTTCATGTCGGCTCGAGTTCTAAATCAACGTCAAGCTCGATGGAGTATGTTGCTATCTAGGTTCAATTTTATTATCACTTATCGACCTGGAAAGTAGCAAGGACTATTTGATGCCTTATCGAGGAGATCGTATCTTGTACCAAAGGCTGGAGAAGGAGCGTTTGATCAACAATGTATGACATTGTTGAAGCCAGAGCAATTTCAGCTTTGCGCTACTATTATGCCAATTGATGCTGACTTCCTGAATTAAGTATGTGTCGTAACCATTGAAGATTCAGTAGCCATTGATATTAAGCAGCATGCCAATGACGACAAGTTCAAGGTGGAGGGAGATCTTTTATACTTTGAAGAGCGGTTATATATCCCAAAAGGACCAGCACGACTCCGAGTCCTTCAATCTCGCCATGATTTTCCAGCTGCGGGACATTTTGGATTCAACAAGACCTTGGAGCTTATTTCTCGAGATTTTTGGTGGCCCCAAATGTGGAA